AACAAAATAAACATCTGAAATATATGAGTTTGTATGTAATGTATGAATATAATATACAAGTTTCACTTTTTAAATGGAATTACTGAAATCAATCTACTTTTTCATGATATTCTAATTTTATGACCAGCACCTGTATAATAGGAGAAATTTACCTCTGCATTTAACCCATTCCCTTAGGGAGTGATGGGCTACCATCGTGGGGCGCCCAGGGAGCAGATTGAGGTTAAGGGTCTTGCTCAGATACCCAGAGTGGCAGTCTGTGGGTGTGGGGCTCGAACCCAGAACCTCAGGATTCCAAGCTCTATGCCCTGACCAATAGGCCACCACTCCCCACAATATAGTACCAATTCACAACACATCATCTCAAGGCATTACAGGACATTTAAAGAAAATTGCTGAATTGCTTTGTGTCATGAGACCAGTTGGGAAGCTACAATAGTTTTATTGGAGCAGAGCTGCATCTTAAACTTGGAAGACAGCAAAGTTTGGAGCATCGTTGTGAAACCATGTTAATGCATTAAAATATAAAGTAATGTCAAGTTTTTTTGTTTTTTTTTTACACATTTTTACTGTGAGTCCTAATACGTGTTAAAGGGACAAGGTTGTATTATTTTTGTTTAATTTAATTAACCACCGTAAAAAAAAAGAGATGGAAATCATATTTTTTAATGTAATTCTCATTTTCACTTTCCCCTGTTGTATTTTTCCATCCCCATTCCTCAGGTTTCCCTCTGTCCACTCTGTCCGTGCTGCTGGTGACCTACTGTGGTGTTCAGCTGGTGAAGGAAAGAGAACGTCAGCAGGCCCTGCTGGAGGATCCAGACCCAGTGAAGCCAGTGGATGGTGGCAAAGAGAAAGCTGAATAATCAAACAGAAAACCAGGATATGCTTTCATCGTCAGCCTCGCCAGCTGTAACAGAACCAGGCTGTTAAAGCCATTCGGCAACTTTAAAGTTCAACAAGGCAAAGCTTTTGCTTGTCAGAAGCGAGCATTGTTGACCATCCTCAAGTGCACTTCCAGTAGATAATCGGCACATACTTTGGCAATAAATCCCACAATTACATATTTTGTATCTAAATCTTATCTAAACAAATGTTTATTATGTGGATTACAGGTTTTAAAAACAAAACAATTAATAGAAGGATAGACAAAGATCCATATTTAAATGAGCAGCTACTTTGCTCTGTTTGAACACTACCATTTGAATTACTTTCATATTTGAACATTCTTGTTGTCTGCAGTATAGTCCATTTCTCAGGCCTATTATCACAACCCTTAATCTCACTTAAGGGAAAAAGACTTGAAAGTAAATGGCAATATGGAAAAACTCAAAGGGTGCTGTGGAGATCTTCCACAAAGTTTTCAGTTGATTGTACCATGTCTAATCTCCACTGCCCTATAGGAAAAGCAAAGTTATAGTAGAGAATATTGTTTTTGATAGTGGCCATGTGTTGGTTATCTGAATGTAACTTGTCCCTATACAGTATTCAGAGGGTCAATGCCTTGTTTAACATCCCGTTTTTTTTTTTTATTTTAATAAGAAATTGCTGATGAATATCAGTTTATATTCCTCCAGCCCATCTTACACACTTCAGATCCTCTATTTGCAAGGTACACAACAGACCGTACAGTGCAAAGGGTCAGTCTTTTAGTGCCTGTCAACAAAACCCTGCAGCATGTCTTTGGTGTGGAAAGGGAACAGGGGTAACTTTAAAAAGATTAGTATGTATTTTATCATTCAGGTTTTTCATGCAAATGGCTGTTTATTTATCTGTCTTAAAATAAAGATATATTTCACCCTGCTCTGAGGCCGGCTCATTTTTTTGTCCACTGCAGAAAGAACTGTGACTTATATATAGTGCTTCAGGGAATTATAAAGGTTGTTGTTTTTTTTTTTTTTCTATAAAATGAGTTTTAGGAGTTTAAAGAATATTTAATAACAGGGTGTGGGGGTTAATTACAGTTTACCTACTCAGACCTTTTAGGTGATGATTAGGGGAAGATTTGTAACAGGATGGATGGACATTTGTAACAGGATGGAAGAAACATACAATTTTTCTTCAATCAGAAACTAGCTAGAGTGAAGACACTCCTGCTGAACATTGGATGTCCCCACATCCATTGCAGAAGCTCCTGCATTGTCCCCAATAATACAAAAAAACAGTATTTTTAACACTCACTCATTAGTTTTTACTTTAGTATAATACATCTTATGAGGTTAAAGCTTGGGCAGGAGGTTTATGAATGTGTTTGCATGTGCACATGTGTCTGAGTGCATGACCTTCCTCAACTGTGTTTTAAAGCTGAAGAGGATCCAGTGAATAGTCAAATTCTATTAAAATATACATATATTTTAATCTCAACAATGCTATTATACTGCTAGATACAATTATCTAGTTGCCATATACCTAAGCAGATAATGGGGTCTTAATGACAGGTAGTAAGTTATGTAATATAGTTAAATTTTCCTCAGCTGTGGTTTTATAGAATTGTTTTTAAAAACATTTTCCTCAAATGTAAATGTTACATAATGCATGCACACACTGGTAACTGAATAAATAAAAGGTAACGGACTCATAAGTTGTTCCATTTTTCCTATGTCACTGAATTCCTACATCTGCATAAAACTCACTATATAATTGGCATCTGACCAAAGCTAATGAAAAACTATGCAATAAAATTCAATCTGAATTTTATTTATATATTGCAACAATCCCATCCCCAAAGAGTGTTGCAACTTTCCCCAGCTCCAGGGTTGGTTGTAACATCCGACTCTTTCCATTTAGATGCAAATTGTTTTTTACTATTAACAGGCAGATATGCATTTATAACATAAACATTTAGTTGATCTAATTCAAACAGATCACTGAGTAACAGAGTCAAATAAAAACTTTTGCAGCTATCCTAAATTTTCCCTATGCATTCAGGGGATGATTCTAGATTGAGGAATTTGAAATACATGTGACGTGAAATTTTTTTAAGGTGTTTTGCTATTGAAATTATTATTGAATTGAAGTTGATCAAAAAGTAAGAACATAGCCATTTTGGGTAATTTTATTAAACGTTTTAAGGATAAGTTTGATTTTTTTTTTTATGTGGAAAGAAAGAAAAATTATTTTTTTTTTTTACAGTGTCCTGTCTGACAATGTGGCAATAAGAATAATTGGCTTGATGCCGAAAAAGGGCCCAACAGATTTAGCTTTCACAAGTGGAGCAGTACGGCTATCGCCATAGTGTTCCATTTTAGTTATGCATGTAAATTGCTTTATTATAATTCATTAAAGGAGTTTTACAGATTATATGGACATTGCATTATAAGTAGAACAGGACAAGCAAAAAAGAAAAGAACAGGATAAATGATGAAAGAAAGAAGAGATAAAAGGGAGAAAATGATAAAAGATCTTCAGTCTGCTTCATCACCTGCAAAGAGATCTAAGAACAACACAACCAACGGATATAGTATAAGAGATACACAAAAGTAGCACCTTAACGCTATCGCTGAAGTATAAGTAGTATTATTTAATCTGACATGTATACTGTGGTAGCTGAAGATAAGAATATGGTCTTTCTGTATGGATGTGAATCTGTTAGTACCTGGAACCAAGCATTGGTAGTTGTTTGTGAGGGTGTACTTGTGCATGTAAAGTTTATCCAAAGGAAAAATGCTCAATAGGGGTTGTGAAGAGCCCCAAAAAAAACAGATGCCCAAAGGGATCCCTAGAGCAAAGGCACCCAGGAGGGGCCAACCCAGGATATCTGCCCCCCACTCCAAGGGAAGAGGAGAGAGCCGAGGAAAAATCCCCCAGCCGCTGCAATGCCGGTGCCCCCAGGAGCCGCAGGGACGAGTCTGTTTTAACACAATGAATTTCATACATTGAATTTGAGTTTAGATCACTTCTACTAATAAATATTAAAAGAAAAAAAAATTAAGACTGCTATACATTATCCTCTGCTATCTGAAATCATTTATGTATTTCTCTCTTTTAACCTACAGCGTCCAATTCTAATAGTTATGAAGTTATTTTCACGTGGTCCTAATAAAAGGACAATTTTAATACCTAAAACACAAGGATTTGTTCACATATAAATGACAGAAAAACAGCTGTTCTTTTTTAATATAGGAAGGTGTCGTTTTTAACCACTAGGTGTCACTGTTGCACAACCTATGTAACCAACCTAAGCGAAACATGTGACTTTAGAGTACACTTTATGTCCCAAAAGCATAGATAAGAGTTAAAAAAAAAAAAAAAAAAAAAAAAACATCAAAAGGCAAAAGAAAGAAAGAAAGAAAGAAAGAAAGAAAGAAAGAAAGAAAGAATTAAATTTTCAAACTATAAAAAAAATTATTGTCACATAAAGGGAACATACTCAGCAAAGTGATGTCAGTGTTAACATATCATGTGTGTTGTGTGGATGTGCACATTGGATAGGTATGTTAAAGATAATTACACTGTTTTTTTATTAATGTAAAGGCAGAAGAGAGAGAGTTTGAAGTTTACAGTATTTGACTTAATCATTTTACTTTTCTGAGTCACATATGCGTTTGAATATCTATAAATTAATGTAGAATCTACTCTTTCTTTAACCACAAAACAAATGTGGAGTATCTTTATTGCGTGTGACTCAGTGGATGAGGTAAAAACATATTAATAGAGAAGTATGTCAGTTTCTCTGATTGTAACTTGGAGAATGTAATGGTCAGAATAAATGGAGGGATTTTTTGTTTGAGGATCAGCATTTATTTTTACTTTTAAGAAACATTAATTGACATATAAAGACGTTTTCAGTCAATTTTGTCTTCACATTGTATCCAAAGTTTTATTTATTCCAGCTGCTATACAATGCTTATAATATGTACACTAAAAAAAGAAAAGTGTGTTACAATGTCAAGAATAGCTGCCTGATGAGTAACATTCAGCTGTTCTCCATGGGCTGTCTCGGTCCCTGGTTTTGCTTTGTGGGGATCCAGTCTATAAATACTAAGGACTTCCACACTCAGTGACAGTCATAGACAGCTGCAACCATCGGCTCACCAATCCTTTGAGGCTATTCGTGGCAATCTGAGCAGGCCAGTGAGCACCGACAGTGTCGCTCTGTCGTGGCAGAGAGGGGAGCCCACCATCAAAATGGCTGCTTTGACGATAGACCCGGTGCAACAGCCTCGGATGTACCAACAGTCCCTGCTGCAGGATGGACTATGTGACCTTCTAGAGAATGACAAGTTTGTGGACTGTGTCCTGAAAATCCAGGACAAGGAGTTTCCCTGTCACCGCTTGGTTTTGGCTGCCAGCAGTCCCTTCTTCAAGGCCATGTTCCTGTCTGAACTAGAGGAGAGTAAGAAGCGGGAGATAGTCCTTAAAGATGTGGACCCAAGTGTTATGGGGATGATCCTGCGCTACTTATACACATCTGACATTAATCTCACAGAGCAGAATGTTCAGGATATCTTCATGATTGCTAACATGTACCAGATCCCTTCCATCTTCTCTGTATGTCTATCATACCTTCAAGAGAAGATGGTGCTGGGAAACTGCCTTGCCATCTTTAAATTGGGTCTTCTTCTGGATTGTCCGAGGCTCGCTCTCGGAGCTAGAGAATTCATCTGTGAACGCTACCAAGTTGTTGTCAGGGACCAGGACTTTTTCCAGCTCAGCCCAAGTGAATTAGCCATCATCATCTCTTCAGACGCCCTAAATGTTGACAGGGAAGAGCAGGTTTTTGAATCCCTGATGGGCTGGATCAAACATGATGAGCCAACACGGTTAAAGGAACTCCCTGAGTTGTTACACTGTGTCCGATTCAGGCTCATTCCAATTGACTACTTCAAAGAAAAGGTTCAGCGTCATCAGTACATACGATTTAACCAAGACATCAAGAAGGAGCTGGATCTCATCGCAGATGCTTACCAAGGCCGTCTCCCCAAGCCGAAGAAGATTGAAGGAGCAAAGGGAGGGGAGGAGACGGACGAGGAGGATGAGGAGGGATACCTGCCTGGAATCCTGAACAACAACCCTCGCTTTGGGATGTTTGAGATGGACCTTATACTCTTGATCAACAACACAGGGACTGTGGCCTATGACCCGGCAGGAAATGAGTGCTTTGTGGTTTCAGAATCTACAGAGATTCCCAAGAACCACTCAAGCCTGGTGACAAAGCAGAACCAGATATTTGTGGTTGGAGGACTTCTCTATAATGAGGAGGACAAAGACGAACCGTTCCTGTCTTACTTCCTACAGGTAGTGTGCTAATCATGTCAAAATGAAACAGTTTTGTTTTGCTTTGTTTTCTGCTAAAAACTAAGAATTTTAAAGGGCATATGGCATCATTTCACAAGTTTTTATTTATTACTTGTGGTCGGTCTCAGATATTTACATTTGTTGTCATGCTCAAAGATTAAAAATGCATTAAAAAAGAAATCAAGGACAAGATATTCGAGAGTTTCTAAACATTAGATTAGATAGTACATAGCCTTAGCATAGGCAATTAAACATAAATGTAGAACAAAGTCATCTCGCCAGACTCCAGGTTGAATGGCTTTGGTAACACTTTGCTCTCAATAAAGACAGTATTGGGGTGTTTTCGTCAGTTGAGGTGACCCTAGAGCAGGGGTCATCAACGCGGTGCCCATGGGCACCAAAGGGCCCTCAAGGACCACATGGGGTGCCCTCGGCATCTTCTGAAAACTGAACAAATCACCAATGGGCTAAGTTTTTAACTTTATATGATTTTGTTGCTCTTCTTTTTCAATAATTTAAAGAGCATTTAATCATATTAATCACATATAGCATTTAGGCATCTATAGATATTTCTAAATAAAAATATCTAAAAGAAAATTTGAAATTAAAATAATTAATTAATTAATTAAAATATATTTATTAAGAATGAAGTTTAGGTGAACTCTGCAGTTCATAGATCAGTATTACTTCCTATGATTCAGTACTCATGAAGTAGCTCTGAGCCTTAAAAACATTGCTGACCCGTGCCCCAGAGGGTCACCTCAAGCTAATACTACACATATGGCTGTTTTAAGGTAAGTTAAAACACTGATAGGTTATTTTTTCGTGTACTTGACTCTAACAAGCGAGTTAGAGTTTGATAGTAAATAAGCTTTATTTATGCAGTACCTTTCACAGACCAAAGCCACAAAGTGCTTCACAACACAGTTTAAAAACATCAGAACATACACAATATAGGGATATAGACAATAGGGAATTATAGCATCCCAAAAGGTAGGTTATTAGAAACTTGTACAAATACATAGGTCTTAAGTATGCTCTTGAAGGTGACAAGACAGTCATTAATTTTAATGCTATTCATATATTAAACACATGGATGTTACCAGGATTTTAGACAAAAAATGCTAACAATCAACCAATGTGATGGACTGTCTGCCAGCTCCCTCAGACTGTGTTGGTTCAGCATGAACTATGTATTGTTCTCTTTTTCCTTCACTTAAAACCTCAAATTGAGTGGTGTCATCAGAGCAATATTGGTATGGTGAGAATTATTGCTAAGCAAGGACAGGTCCACCCTCTACTCTGTTTACCTTCATGAAATCATCTTCATCACTGGGGAAAGCAGGACTGCTCTTTCCTTTCTATACCAGATAGTTAAGGAGTCTCTAGACATCCATTTGACATATTTATTTGTTCATTTTAAAAGTTTATTTTAAAAAACAAATTATTTTGACAATTTTATGTTTTCAGGATTTTCCACACTCTCTTGCTTTAACATCTTATATTACAAATATTTGCCCTTTGAAAATCCTATTGTAAAAATGTCTCTCCAAATGTCTGCTGTTATCCACAGTTTGATCCAGTAAGTTCGGAATGGTTGGGAATGCCTTCACAGCCCAATCCTCGGTGTCTGTTCGGCTTGGCTGAAGTTGAAAACTCTATCTTTGTTGTTGGTGGGAAACAGCTGAAGGAGGGAGAACATGCCCTGAGTTCAGTCATGATCTATGACAGACAGTAAGTTTTACTTGATTTTAGGAACTTCTGATTTACCATATTTTTTTAAAATTATCTGAAGAAATCCAGAATAGCAATACCTAGAAATATGTGCTTCTCTTTTTGAATTTCCCTTCTTTTCTGCTTTCAAATTACAATTTATTTTCACTTTCACACGTAAAACTGATATGAGCTCAACATAATAATACATTGTCTTTTTTGCACTCAGGTCATTCAAATGGGGAGAGTCAGACCCTCTGCCTTATGAGGTGTATGGCCATGGGACTGTTGCACACAAGGGTCTTGTCTATGTTATTGGAGGAAAGTCTGAGAGCAAGTAAGTGTTTTGAGAAACACTCAACATCACACACGGTGATTACCAAACAAAATACGTTTATTGCCAATATTTTTCTACTTCTATCAGTCAGGCATTTTTAAAAATTATAATACATCAAGAAATTAGCTGATTTGTGCTATATTTCCCATTTATTGTTTTGCATTTAAGCTTGTGTCATCATAGCACTGAACTTACAAAGTGCTCTATAGTTATACAACTGATATATTATTGGCAGTATGTGCTGTACCAACACATATATAGCATCCAATTCATCCAGTTTAGAATATTGCTGCACACATACGGCAAAAAAATACCATTAATTCTCATGATTGCGTATTAAAAACATTAGCAAGAAGTATAGAAGCAAGGACATGTTTTTGTTTTTGTGTATACTTTAAGTTAAAGAATCTGTAGTCTTTCAAGTAGCCATGTGAAGGCATGTATACATAGTGAAAGCATCTTCAAACAGCAGTAGCTTCAGGTCTTTCTACATCTTATTTCTTTTTTCTAAAATAAAAGGAAGATCTGAAGAAAAACTGTTTCCATTGGTACCTCATTTTTGGTTAAAGGATGCGGTTTTATAATAATACATCAGTATACCTGCAGCTCCACTATGTCTAATTGTGTGCAAAAAGCAGCCAAACCAGAGTTGGAGCCCAGGTTGTTGAGAAACTTGAACAATCAAATCCGTTTTTGTATTTTAGTTCTTTTAAACTACTGACAAATCATTACAAAAGTGCAATAGCAAATGTTTAAAAGTCAAGCTCAAGTATTCCTGGGAAAAAGGAATAAAGCTTTCAGATTTGAGGCAGTTCCTGATCATTTTATAGTTATACTGTAAAACCTAAATATCTCCAAATCACCATTTTTGGCCTTGATAGGTAAAGGGTTAAATCTGCTACCAATCTGTAGCACAACCTCAGTTATATTTTGTACTTATTGAGTTAATTTTCTCCTACAGTAGTTTATGCAAAACTTCTTAAAGATTGATAGCTATTTACACTGTCCAAGGCTTTAATAACCTGATTAATTAATTTGAAACTTCTTGGCTAAATATTTTTCTGATGGGTGAATCTTGAATACAGTACTGTTAGGGCTAACATCTTCCTTTATCAAGACAACCCAGTTTCTGAGTTTTCAAAAGGCATGTCATAAGGCTGTACTTAATAAATGATTAAGTACAGTATGATTTTTTTATCCGAATGAAAAAACAGTTTTTCTTTTTTTTTTCCTCGAAAAATATAAGTTGCATTTTATGCACTTTTTCTTATGGTAAATATTAAATACTCGAATACCTTCTTTTAAAAAATAGCATAATTAACCAGTTATTTATTTTTGATCATGTGTTCAAATTTGTCAACCCTTCAGTTCTTACGTAGATACTAATATAAAAATAGCTAAATAGCTTTTCTACACCTAGTACATTATATTATATTTAAATGTTATACATTTAGTGTCTTTGAGTGAGTTTTGTTTAAAAGTAAGACATCAAACATACATAGTTCAGTTGATCTTACCAATTTGTGGTACATCATGTATAAGATAAGCTGTTTCAGCATGTTGTATTAAATTATTTTACTCAGGAAATGCATGAGAAGAGTCTGCGTCTACAACCCCACTAAGTTTGAGTGGAAGGACTTGGCTCCTCTGACAACTGCCAGGTCTCTCTTCGGCATCACCATCCATAATGACCAGATCTATGTGGCCACAGGGGTGACTGACTCAGGCCTTACCAGCTCTGTTGAAGTCTATGACATTACCACCAACAAGTGAGGAAAACTTTTTTTCTTACCAGTAAATATGGCATATAATTTCTTTAGAGTGCAGAATCAGACATTAAACAACCGCAGATAAGTTGATTTTATTAAACATTGCTTCATTACAGATTACAGAAACTCAAACACATTTTACAACAGCTTTTATTAGATAAGGGACAAACATCAGTCATTTTTGGTACAATGTATAAATCAAAATTTACAGTGTAACTCAGTCCATTTATACATACTAGCCTCTAAATATTGTCCTTCTTAGAAATCGTTTACGGTACACTAGCTCCAAAGGTGGCTGTGTCTGGATAAGAAAAATTCAAGCAGATGAGTCGTGTGGTGGTTTTTATTTAAGAAAGGATGAAACAGAGCACATACATATAGTCACTGTGAAAGCTGAGTCTATTGCTATGATACCTTGAAAGAGAGAAACAGCACTAAGCACTGAAAATAGTCCCAACTTTATCAATATGTAATGCAAGTTGTTGATGGCAGCAGCCCAACTGATACCTAAACCATTCAGTCAGACTCCAATAGTAAGTCCTCCTATCTGGGGAGGGGTTTCGCTGTTACATTGGGGTGAGTTTACTTGAAATGTTTCGAACAATGTCTAAACTAATACCATCTAAGAAGGGTTTTTTTAGTGCATGAGGTCAAAATTAGTAAACTACTGCTACTACTATAACTCAGAAGCTGTAGTCTTTTGTCTTTTGTTATGTTTGTGTCAATATCACAGTCAAATATCAGATTTTTTATAGTGTTATATCCCTGTTGTTTGTTTGTAACATTCTAGGTGGTCTGAGTTTACAGAGTTCCCTCAGGAGCGCAGCTCTCTTAGTCTCATCTCAACAGGGGGTTATCTGTATGCTATTGGAGGTTACGCCATGATGCCCAGTGAAACTAGTGAAGAAACAGCACCAACTGAGATGACTGATATCTGGAGGTGAGAGACCACTTTACACAATTGCTCTAATGTTTGTCAAGAATTAAAAATAAACTGCTGACTTTTGAAATATGAAATTATGAATTTCTTATTATTACGGAGATATCTAATAGAATATTAGAATAGAATATTCTTGATTGATGCTGGTATAGGCTACATACACATTCATAAGAATTAAAATAAAATAAATAAAAATAACATACAATACCAAAAAAAAGCAGAACACCAAATTTTGCATACTTTCCATTTATCCCCTTACAGATCTATTTAAAATTTTTATCCAAAATTTTGATAGAGCTGTATATACAGGAGGGGGGGGGAGATTTTTTTTTGGGGGGGGGGGGGGTTCAGCAGTAGTCTCCACACCCGCCTCAGTAGAGACTGCTCATTGATGGACTGAAGGGAGAGCTTTTCAGTCCTCCCTATCACCTTCATAGCGGTCTGTACCAGACGCTGCAACTTTGATTTTGACTGTGTAGACTTATTGCCGAACCACGCCTTCATCCCAAACCTGGTGACACTCCCATCACTGCCTGATAGAATAAAAACATGATGTTTTTACTGACACTTAAAAAATACATCCCTAGCTGTAAATGGCAGTGTATGTAGTCAAGATGACCCCCCCCCCCCCCCATCTTAACAGGTAATGGAGATGCTGATTTAATTTCACAGCAGGACTTGGATATTCATGCACTGCCAAAGATACCAAAAGCTGATTCAATGAACTCTTCAGAGGAAGACTAAATACTCCAGAACTAACAATGCAAATATTCACATTTTTTGTAATATATGAGTTTCACTTTGACAAATTATATGAAACTTCATCAGATAATTTATGTTTTTTTTTATTGATAGACCTGTAAATGTATATGTAATATAAATAATATACAAGAGATAAAAAGAGGTTTGTCAGAGATAAAATGTGAAACAGCTTTAAGACGATGATATGGTTTTTACACTAATGCACTCTTAGCAAAGCCATTTTAAACTATTCCCATTTGGGTCCATATGTTGTCAGTCAAAACAGATAAGGCCCAGATTTCCTAAAATCATGATTATTGAAAAAAAGATAAATGTTACGTTTCCATGTGGATATTTAAGGTAAAGTTCATTTTGGCATGACATATGGTTCAGTTTTAACACACCTAATTTCTCACTGCTGTCATTATTCATAGATTACGGTTCAGGGTGAAAGTAAAGGTCTCTGTGCAAAGGCTATAAGGACACATCAGGAAATACGTTCACCTTTAGGATTAATTCATCATGACTCCATTGTTGATATGAATCGTGCTGCTATATTTGTTTTTACGGAGAAGACAAGAAAGCAAGGCAGACTAATATCAGCATCCCTCAACAGATTATATTAATCAAAGAGTAGGACCAAAATCACACTGTGGAGAGAGTCCCTGGGACAAAACAAGTCATTTCTATTTTATTCAGTGAAAAAAATTATATTCCTCAAAGGGCTACAATTGAAATACTGAAATCAAATTCCTACTTTACACCACATTAGGATCCCATTTGAAAAACCAATACTAAGATGTTTACCTCTATTGCAGATATGATGAATCAGAGAAATGCTGGACTGGGATTTTGCGAGAGATCTGCTATGCAGAGGGATCCACCATTCTCCCAGTGCGTCTCAACACTCTTCGCCTCACCAAGTTATAATCAAACTGAACTGCTTCATGTTGCATCCTGAAGTCAATGTCATTTCTCCATGTGGACAATGGACAACAGTTTGGAGTAGAGAATTATACAGGGGAACCTTGAAAAAGTAAAAAATGAGCTATGAGATCAGTGTAAAGTTTTATCACATCTTTTACTGCAGGGGGAGACAGACGCATGCCTACTGATTAAAGCTAAAGGAGAAGGACAAATAAATTGCACCAAAAATGACAAAAATGCTAGACCTTAATCTCATCTTTCCTTTTGGTGGATATTCCAATAAATGTGTTTACTACATTCAATGTTGCATTTAAATAAAAGTAAGATGGCTGAATAAGTTTCTGTCATGGATGAGGCAAAAGAAAGACACTGAAGCCAGATCAGAGTGCAAATGTTATATTCATCCGTATTTGTTCAACCTTAAATTCTACACAACATGCCGAGGGTTAAAAAAAAAGAGACTTCCTTCAAAGGCTTACAGTAACTAGTTAAAGACACTTTGTAATCCTTACAGAGACATTACATAAATACAATGAGTGGGAAAGTTTTAAATGTAAACATAGATTTCTAGTTGACACCTGAGTACTAAGCATATCATCATAAAATGAATCGTAAAACAATTCTTTATGCATATTTACAGCTTGACTTTATATACAATGAGAGCTCTTTGGGACACTAGGTTCACACGCTGTATTTTTTGTTTAACATACAATGTCACAACAGGTACAAAAACGGGCACATGCCTCCTACTATGACATTTATACACAGTTTGGATCAAACTGTGCTGTATTTGAACAGTTCTGATGTTTTGTTGCTAGATTACTTTAACAAAGAAAGAGTGTACAGGGACCTGTGTGCTACTGCACCACAAACGCGTGTGCTAGCATGCTGATGTCAGTGATAAAGTTGTTAAATTACATTCAGAGAGAAACAGGAGAGTCGAAACTTCAGTCCTTTGCAAAAAAGGACTGAAGTCTCCTTCCTTGAAAGTTTTGTATGTCATGTTACAACCACATATATCAATATTTATAGGAATTTTGAACTAATCATCTGGAAGTAGTACGCTAAATATGAAAGAGAAGGAATTTTATATTTAAATTTTAGGAAATAAAAATGTGAGTCCAACTCTGTGTGATTTAATTTCAGTATAAATCTATGAGTTTTTGGATTCAGTAAAGATAATTAGTTTCTTAAAGCAAATAACATTGGTTAACAATGTTGGAAAAGCAGGCTACAACCACATACAGTACTAGCCATCTAAAAGGATGGGAAAACATTTATAAAAAAAGCAGCAAAGGAAGCACTACGTCACTTTGGAGGAGCTACAGAGATCCCAGACTCAACTCGGACTGTTAAAATCCCAAACTAAATCCTTTACAAATTTGAGACTTTGGGTCAAGACTTAAAAAAACTATTCAGTCTAACCTTTCTTGAGGTATTTGCAAATTAGAATGGGCACAAAATAAAGAAAAAATAAATAAAAATCTGCTTTTCCAGTAGAATTCCAGTAAAGTTAATCAAATATTGTGGCTGTAACATTGAACAACTTGGACAGTCTAAAAATAGGACTTTATCTACATTATTGTAAAATGAATAAAGTATTCACAATGGAACCAAAATGAAACTGAAAAGACTTATGTTTATCTAAAACGATTTATCACCAGGAAACCACAAACTAAAATATGAAAACTTACCATCTGAGTACAAAGATACATAAATGATTTACCTACTTATGGTAACAGTGAATAAAGTAAGCAAAAGACTCAATCAATTCATTTATCCATGCAATCTAGACAACAGAAGATAGCTTTAGCATATTTATACACTGTACCGAGAACTGATCTAATACATCTGCTTCGTCTGTCTAAGATCGTGTACTTATAGAAAACTAAAAACATCTGTGATCTGACAAAAGCTTTATTAGCCAGAGCTTCCATTTTTCCTCTGGAATGTTATCCTGCAGTAATTCAGCTGAGTGTACGACCCGAATAAAACTGTCACAGACAGGACAGCCACATCCAGTACCCTGCATGTACCATAGACCTCGGCTTTTACGAACAATACTATCAGCATTGCTAATACATTTATTAGTAAAATTCATTAAGCTGTCATTTGGAAAGGTAATTTTTTAAAATTGCCAATGTGCAGAGTTTTAGTGTACGTACACTTGTTTTGGATTTATCACAGCCTACTTTACAGTAATTTGATCCAACCCACATTATCTGAGAGCAAAATAAGTCTTTCATGGTCTGAACAGCAAGCTGGACATTTTGATCATACAAGAACCAACAGCTAAAAACATTCCCATTGTGGCTCCTATATCTGCATATCTCTGTATACTGTATATTTGCTTTTATTTTTCACAGGGACATTGATAATTCGAGATTATTAGATATCATGATATTAATTTAATAAGAAATTTATATTTCTTTTAATGCAGTGTGATATATGGCTGAAAAATATTCCCAGATCAAAGATTTAATATCAGTCTATCTCAATAATTACTGATTAGTTTTTGGTTTTACCTATTTGAAATAAGGACAGGCAGAAAAATGGAAATATTAAATTGTTATCTTAACCACTTTTTTTTTACAGTTAAGAAAAGTGTGAGAGGCTAAACACTTTCCTCTGCCTACATCCCCCAGAATGCTGTGCGTTCTGAATCAGAATATATTGAAATGATATAAAATCTATTGGACGTATATTCTATTGCTAGGTGTTTATAACAATACATATTATTATTGTTTTATTGGGGTAAAAAGTCCTTTCTATTGTTGTATCAGCCTTTAATATTAGTAAGAGATAATAAATGAGCTGGTCAAACAAAAATGGAAACTTAGTCACAGTCATGCAACCTGAACCATGTGCTGAAAATACTTGTGGGGTCATGGCATTGGATGGAACAAGGACTGAATTACTAACAGAGAACAAAAGAAACAATTAAAAACTAATTCCTCGAATGCATCGTATTGTATTAATGTATTTTCATGACAGCTACCATGAAGGAGGAGCTACAGTTTGAGTTGCTGTTTTCAAAAAGCAATTAAAGCATGAGCAGTGTAAGTTTCTGAATCTTTGACTTCATCAGCATGCATGTCTTGATTTTGATGGCGAAGTACAAGACTACATCTTCAGCAAAAGGTTTGATCCACAATTAATACAATCTACTGTTTAACTGGTGACTCTAGTATGGTTAAATATTTGGCTTGTCCTCTAAAACCGGCTGTTTGAGCTCCTGCACACAAAAAAAATGGAAGATTATAGATTCCTTAAGAAGAGACAGGGTTCTCTCATTACAACAACAGAAATAGTCTCCCTCCATTGAAAAAGAGAAGATGGTACTAGGGCCATGGCTCCATGAGCCAACCATCTATCATTGTGGCCCCTATAACCAAGACTCATTTTATGATAAAAGGTTTTGTCTGGGCTCGAAAAAATGTATTAATGATGAAAGAAAAAGAAGTAAAACAATTCTCCTTTTTGTTGTTTTTCTTTGTTTGTGCTTAAATGCTTCAGTATAGGCAACCGAGCCTAACGCAACACATTTGTTTTTTAGCATTTCCAAAGTTGATGGCTAGAAACAGTCAATTTTCTTCTGCTTAAAGTATGTCCTGTAATTGTGTTCTTCTTATTTGAGCTAATAATGATAAAGCTCTGCTAATTTTAAGAGGGTAGGCATCATTAGTTCTGCTGTGTTTACAATATGAGCCCATACACATTAATATTTGAAGGTAGTGGTATTTGCACTCTCTGCTGTTTAGCTAAGCCTCTAATTTTGCACAGAAAACAAACAAAATTGGGAATCATATACATTTTTCACTCCATTCAGTATTTGTGTTAGCTTATTTTTTTACACAATAATAGGAAAATATGATCTTAAATTATATTAATTTGCAATTAAGCAAATCATTTTTTTAAAGATAACTGTATTTGTTGTTTCTATTTTTATTGTATTTTCCAAGCTAACTTTACTTTAATTTCAATTTCTTACAATAAAAAATAGCTCTTTAACACATATAAAGCTGTGTATTAAGTGGTTATGATATCATTTCATTGGTTTAGGTTTTTTCTTGTTCTTTGTTTCCTGTAGTTAATGTTTTAATATTAATCTTTAATTTTTACTTGACGGCTTATTTAAATGTTTTTCTTTAAATTAAATGATAGATTGGCTAAGCTATTTTAAGTATTCCATTTATAAATTCTTCTATTTGAAGAGAAGTGTTTATTCTGTATTTATGCAGTGTTTGCTGTTTAAGAATGCAGGTGCGCAAATTCCCTCCTTCATCTGTTGTTATATATTATACCACACCTCAGCTTAAAGAATAACCAAAAGAGACTGATATCTGTTTGGCTATTACTTCCTGATAATCAGTTGGTGCTCTGACTTGGTCGTTTAGCTTCAAACTACTAACTTTGCTAATAATTGCCTTTGGTATTTATTAATAGTAATTCCTTGTGAAATCAAGCTTGTTATTGCACGACAATAGGTTTCTTATTGGAAAAAAGAGAGAAAAGAAATGGAAGCAAATTATAAAGAGACCTGATTTTTTTAGGGGCCTTGAAAAGTATGTGCCGAGACCTGAAAAACTGCTGCATGACTGATAGGAATGACTGCCAGGGAGACAGACTTATAATGGGCGCAATGCAACCAGCTGCCCCAATGTGTGGCTGCAAATTAAACATGGTCCAAGGTTGGTAATTAGTTAAAACAAAAACAAAAACTGAAGTGCATTTTCACATCTAAATGAGTTGAAATTAAAATACAGTTTTGTAAAAGTAACAAAAAAAAAATTGTCCTTGAGTCTTTTCATGCGTTTTGAGTGTGTTTAAAGTATATAGTAGTGGATTTGTATGTCATTTCTACATCAGCTGTGAAGCAGACAAAAATAATTAGTGCTGAAAACGCACTGAAATCAATGTAATGAAAGACATAATAAATGAACATAAATAAATTTGTACCAGTTCAAGGCCTGTAGATGACCATTATGCTTGTCACCTCTTGTTTCAGCCACTGCTTCCAATGCTAGCATCCATCATAGTTTCTGGTTTATCGGTCATATGCCAGCTCAAGCATTAAAGCTTTAAACTCTTTGAGCTGTTGGTCTCTCTCTGTCAGAGTTTATTTCTCATTTAATAGTCCTTATGATTGAATAAATAAGATCTACATAAAGTTGCCTTTCAAGCATAATGTTTACTTAAGGGGGAGAACAATCTACTTAAAACTCATTTATTTTTGTCAGCACTCTTCCTTTAGAATTAAACTTGCTTTCTACTGTCTCTCCTTGGACCTCTTGTACCATTAGATAACAAGGATGTTCCCAATTTTTAAGTCATTTCGGAAGAAAAGCACATCCCAGTTATTATTTTCCCTATTTGATTTACTGAAATGCAGACAATCCAGTGAAAATACTTTCCATGCTACGGTAAAGTCTCTTTCTGGTCATAGCTGCTTTGATATAATCTTCAAAAATAGGAGCTTTTCTTCATTGAAAAGATCTAAATTAATAAGAAAGTGTTGTCCGAGGTGTCAGATGACTTTGTGCTTTGGCGAGAAAAACACAGAGCACCTGTTTCTTTTTATAGCTAGCATATAAGATTACAACAACAAAAAAATCCACTTTAGGATTATCGTGGCCTCAGTACACCCAGTGTATGGCAACAGTACATGTGAGTCACACATTCATTAAATGATAATAGAAACCAAGGGGAGTCAGCATTTAGTGGGTTTCAGATTGCAGAAAGGTGCTCCTGGCAGGTTGAAGCCCGTCGTGTGGTGGGGCTGCATTTGGTCAACAAGGTGATCTGGGTGCTGAAATTGTTCCCATTGCTCCCAATGGATGGCTGCTGGTACTTAGTGTCAGCGCCAAGAAACCTCTGCAGCATCCACCTGCGCCATTTACGCTTAACCTCAGACTGCACCTGCAGAGGAGGCCAAGGAGGTGGACAAATAGTATGAGGAGTGGTGTTAAAGTGGGCTGGAAACACACCAGGTTAAAGAATAACAGACTTGTTGACATTTACAAAAAAAGAGGTGGGGGGAGTAAACACCTTGAAGAGCCTTGCTTTGTTTGAATTTACTCACCTCTCCATTCAGGAAGCAGTACAGGACAGCAACAACAAAGCCCTGTTAAAGAGATACAGTGGAGAAAAAAAGAGGAGCTGCAGTTAAAAAGGTAGCTGAACTGCGGGAAATGCTCCAAATATTTAAGCATGAATAATGGTGGTAAGATTAAGACCAACTTCAGGCTTAGACAGGAGGTTCATCATGTCAATGTCTGGGATATGTTCCCAGTAGATATCTTTCTGAGCCAAAATGGTAATAAATTGAGAGGACTTTCCACCACAAAGTTTCCATTTTTGCAAACCTTTTTACTTGCAACATCTACTTTCACTATTACACTATTTTCTTATTGTAAAAGTATTTCTCCAGATTTGCCTTAATAAATGGCCAACAGGCTTTGTAACAATCTGCACAAGATGATTTGTTTTCTTACCTGAAATGATCCCAGAACAAGATCAAATGCCATCCTGAGCTGTGGGTGAATGTGTTCAGGAATAAAGGCAAATATTATGTAGTTTATTCCAAAAAGAGGTATCAACAACAATGTGGATTTAGCCAGTCTCCTAAAACAGAAGAAAAAGAGCAGAAAAGATCATAAAATTTAATTCAATTTTCACAACATATAATAACAAATACACACTATGTTTCATTTTATTAAAAAAAATGTGAAAATCATGGATAATTTTCCTTTAACTTTAGCTTTGCTTTTTCTATGTACAGAAAACTTAAATAAACGTTTTTTTTTTAATCATGAGAAGTAGGAAAGTTAATTTTAGGATATATCTTTGCATTCAATTGCATAGCTTGGTTAAGTATATAGTGAGGTATAGTGAATTTTTTAAAAGACCCGCCCTCTCAACTTAAAAAAAAAAAAAAAGTGCACATGCACAACACTGTACACACTCCCAAGAGGGAACACCTATTAAATGCATGCAAGAACGTGCACAAGCCCATTTCTCCTCATGCACGCTCTGTTTAAAAGTTGCTGCTTGCATCGCTCATACAAGCTTACTTTCCAAAAGAAGATTTGCAATTTTTCCACAATGTCAGACTCAGTGAAAATGGGGACAAGCACGTAAGACAGCGTTACGTAAACATATCACCAGAATGATTGACAATTAGGAGGACAATTTATTTTGATGAATCATCCAGAAAAAGAACATCATCTATTATACCTTTAATAAAGAATGACTTCTTAAACCCAAATCTGTACAGCAGGAAAGTCCTACAATGCCAGGGGATCAGCCCTGGCAGTAACCTTTGCTTCAAAAGACTTCTTGACATTTAGCAATGAAAACCTACGAGTACTGGTTGGATTCCTTCCTTCCGATGTTAGGACAATTCATTTTCTGCCGCAGGATCCGGATTATGCAAATGAAGACGAAGAAGTTAATCTGCAACAGAAGCGGGACAATGGTTAATGCTGTATTATGCGGAGCTTTATGTGAAATTTTAAGAGCGTACAGTTGATGTAACTCACTAGTATAGCGACTAAAATTGGCGTTTTGATGATCCACCATGAGGGGTCATCTATTGTTTCCCAACATCTGACATAGAGAAGCAAAATAAATATATAGATCAATAACAGTGGGAAAAATTACATCCTATAGAGTGGATAAACAAGCAAATACACCAGAAAAGTAAGATTGTTAAGTACAACTGCAACCAGAACTAAAATGGAAAGATGTAACTTTAGCTGTCCTGTGAAAAACAACCAGCCCACCAGTGAGTGTCTAAATGTGCAGTAGAGTTTGGATATTCATAAATGAGTCTAGAAAACAAACATTTGTGTGAACATAAATGATTAAATGTCTTTTTTAATTTAATCTGGTCAGGAGTCAATCTTCTATGTTCTGTGATTTTAGCTGCGTTCACACCAAACGCAGCAGGAACAGAAAAAACGAGTCTGCTGCTTAATTTTTGATGCTTGTACAAGTATTTTTTTTTTAAAGCCCTGCTAAAGAGATACAGAGGAGAAAAAAATAGGAGCTGCAGTTAAAAAGACAGCTGAACTGTGGGAAATGTTTGGGCCAAACATCGGATTCAAACTTTTTATATGCAATTATATTTCATATCAACAAACCATGAAAAATATTGGGTGGGGGATATACAAAGGTCACTTTTATCAGTAAAAGATAGATTTTTTGAACATCAAAGAGATTGCAGTATCATATTTTTTATCCTTAAACACATTTCAAAATTAAGTGAAAACTCAATATTGACAGCATTAATTGTCACCACAAAGAAGGTATTGATACAATGACAGTTATGGAGATAAATGATGTGCCTATAAGCGGGGTATCAATGCAACAGGAAGCAATTCAATATGCAACTAAACCCCAAAAAAGAAAAAAAATCAAAATTTAACATAAATATGGAGTCACGTTTAGAAAAATGTATAAAAAACAATGAATACCAACAGCAACTATATAACATCCCACAGGTGTACCAGCCCAAAGTGTGCATCTCTATCTTGAGGAAAGAAGGTTTTTCAGTGTTCTTTTATGGACTCCATACAATGCAATTACATTAAAGTATAATCACCTAAATTATTGAGCAATAGCTTGGGTCAAGCTGGTATGATGAGTTGGTGGAGGTAAATCCAGCTGTTTAGGGTTCATTTTGCTGCTGTACATCTTACATCTTTTCAAGGTTTTAGTATAGTTTTCTAAAGTTTGCTTTTGTCACTTTTATCTTATAAATTTTAGATTTGTTCGTATATATTTATATAAAGTATGCTCTAAATGATTTGTCAATAATAATGATTTCCTTCTTTTCTAAAAAAAATAAACATTATGTTCTCTAACTCCATGGCAGACATTGACCTTCCTTTTGCATTTGGTTCCTCACTGCAGTTATCACATGTAATTTATTCATTTATATGGTTGGAACTGGATCAATTTGCACATCTTAGTGCTTTGCGTGCATAAAATGCTTAATTACTGCTTTCAATTTAGTGCTCCTTACCTTGCAGAGGTTCTTTTTGTATTGGTTTAGAGTTTCCCTTTTTTTGCAGTATATAATTTTCGTTCCAATTCATGATCACATTACATAATATGTTCGATTATTGCATAAATTCCTCCTATATCTGAACTGAAATTCAAATATAAGTACTGGCTTTTATAGTTTTGAGGGAAAAAATGCTTTGCAAACTTCTTTATCTTATAGCACCAATGGACAATGTTTAGATTTAGAGGTTGTGCTGCTTTGTTGTAAGAATGTTTAATCCTCAACTTAAATTATATAAATAAGGTGTTACTATCACTTAAAAAAGAAAAATCAACAAGAAAATAATGATAGAAAGTTTAAATCTTTCCTTATGAATTTCAGAATCTACAGCTTCTTTTAACTTGAACATAAAAGCCTTTCCAACCCTAACTAAAGTCTGTTTCAGTTAAATGTCTTAATTATATTTGACAAAATTCCACCTCTTTTTAGTTTAATTGTCAATGTGTTTTATTTGCACCAGCTTTAGGGACAGTCTTCATTTAAATCACTCATTAAATCCCAAGGGATCTCCGATTATCAACAGTGAAGCTAGCAGCCATGCATGCAGAATTGTTGTGTAATGCAATATGATATTTTAATGTATTATAAAAATAACTTTCAACTCACCCAGGGTGTTTAAAATAAGCTTTGGTAACCACCCATGCAGAGATGAAGATGGTTGGAGCCCCTGTAAACAAACAGCAGAGAGAATTAGTTGTATCATCAATTTTAAAATGTTCTTTGACTTAAAAAGGAGTTATCAGTTATGGCCACAGTGATCTAAACAAACGGAGCACAAATTCAAGATGGCTAAATAAGTGAGTGATCCCTGACCGAATTACTACATAGCCAAAGCAATTACGCATTTTGGGTGTACTTATCATTTTTTACAGGATTCATAAGAGCCAATATTGGTTCATCTAGGGACTCTGTAAAAAGTCACAGGCTTCTCTCCATTTCCCTGCTGGGAGATGGCATTTTAAGCCTATTTATAGTTCATTTATTGGTGTGTTGGGGGAAATAAAACATGGTTGTTGATAATTTTTTGGATGCTGCATCTAACAAACAGGTCAGCAATTTCCAGGGACTTAGACTTAGACTTCTTTATTTGTCATTTTGTATGCACAGGGTGCATACAGAACGAAATTGCGTTACATACAGCTTATGAACGTTGCATTGATATTTCAAATGGCACGAGTTATAGAAAAATACAAAAAGTGCAGCAGTGGTCAAAGTGTGAACAGTGCAGAGGATAAGAGACAGTGTGCAAGTTGCAGTGGTTCAGTGCAAAATGGCATTTGTGCAAAAAATGCGTTATTGAAAAATACAATGAGATGAACAATTTAAAGGGCTAAAAGTTAAAAGTTCAGCAGCATTTGATGCCCGATAATGTGCAATAGGTGCAGAGTTCGGATTGTGCATCTGCATGTTAAAGATAAACATGCAAATCACTTAAGAAAATTATACTAAATGATAATATGAAACATTTTTTCCCCCTTCCTGATTTCTGATTTGTTTTGCATGTTTGTCACATCTAAGTGTCCCAGAACATCAAACCATTTGAAATATTAGTCAAGATTTTAAACTTTTAAATGAAGTATTTTTATTATCGGGGCAGGAGAATATCCATAACGACATGCCCCTGTGAGAAAAAATGGTTGACCTCCTTTAAAAACATCCTCCACTTTTTATTACTCCTAAGTTCATTTTCTAAAGCCACACAAGGCAAGATAGGTAGGATCTGCCTGACAAAATATCCTATAAAGCTAGATATGATGTGCAGTTCCCAAAAAGTTCAGGAACAAAAAAAACAAAGACTTATTTGGGATTTGTCAATCTGGAAATGGCTAAGAAGCTATTTCTAAAGCTGTGGACACTCCTACAGATCACAGTGATGGTCAAAAACTTGTAATAGCCGTAAACCTGCCCAGGAGTGTTCGGCTGACCAAAACCAACCCACTCATTGAAAAGTCACAGAAGACCCCATAACATCTTACGTACCTGTTCAACCTTCCTCATTTAAAGGTATAGTGTGCGATCTTCAGGCTTCAGGTTTTGAGGGAATCAGCTTATCTTATCGTTGTTTCAAATGCTGAACCTTTGTGACGTACTAATTTCCCCTTGCAGCGTATTAACTTTTTTTGTATTTACTTATCCATTGAGCTCCGGCTTCAGCTATTCATTGTAACTCTACAGCTCTTACCACATGCCTTGAAAATGTCTGAGTCATAAGAAGCAAACTGAAAAGTTTACAGAAGGAAGACGAAAAACTCAGAAGAAAGATTATTTCACGAGACAGTGGAAGAGCAGGTAGGATTGTCTTATAAATGCACTTATTTAAGAAGAGTTTGGAAGTTTGTTCCCTACATTTTCACATTCTCATATCTTTATTCCGTAAAAATTCAAAAAAATTCAAAAAATATCCACTGGACTTGGTTTTCAAGATTTGAAGATGTTTCGCCACCTCTCCTGGAAGCTTTCTCAATTCAAATGTCTGGATCCGCAGTGAGTTTGAGTCTTATATGGACAAGGCCTTGTATTGCTTGGAAACATGCAATGGTAACCGATGAATGGGTCGTTTTCTCATATCTCATATCTTTAAGGTTAGTGTTCATTTATCCACCATAAGAAAGATACTGGGCAAAAATAGCCCTTGGTCAAATATGAAAACCGCTGCTAAAGAAAAGTACATTAAGGTTCGTCTCAAAACGTCCGTAACACATCTAGTAAAATATTCTGTGGAATGAATAGACAAATGTTGAACTTTTTGGAAGGTGTGTGTCCAATTATATCTGGTGTAAAAGTAACACTGCATCTCAGACAAGAAAATCATACCAACAGAAAAACATCCTGCCACAAATCCTGCCTCCCACAGTCCAAAAACATGACTATTAGGTTCATTGGCATGTCTAAATTGTCTTTAGGCTTGAGTGTGTATGCTTGGTTGTGTGTCTTTGTATTGCCCTTTGACAGAGTGTTGACCTGTCCAGGGTGTACCCAGGCGCTTGCCCAGACTCCCGGGCCCACCACAACCCTGACGGAATAAGCAGGAGAAAATAAATGGATGGAAGAGTTTTTATTCTAATTTTGGCACAAAAGTACTATAATTTAGTATTCTACTGTCAAATTGATGTTTGCACTATAAATGACTATGGAGATAGCTTTTGACCAATTTTACAACTTTTAACGGTAATTTTGTCCAGTAAAATACTGTACTAACAACATCCTTTGTGAAGACACAGCCCATTACATTAAGATTTGAATTGTGCTTGAAACGTGGCGTATTGTGAGACCAAGACAGAGCAGCATTGAACTAGTCCATTACTTGGCACTCAACGGCAGAGGAAGATAAAAAGGAAGTAAGGGGGTCATTATTTAAAAACATCAAGCTGTTTTTTCTATTACTAGGTGTGTGAGTTTGCACATTAATAAATTATTTATTTTTTATGGTGCATGTCAATAGGAGGGATGGTCAAAATTATTTGACAGAGAAAATGCAGGGAATTAACTGGAAATGAGGGCAAATGTGAAGTAACCCAGTAGCAGCGATGCAACATGACTTTAAAGTTGAGCTTTGGCACCCAGACTGGTAACTGAACCGAGAGAAAAGCATAAAAAGACTGTAAACTCCAGGCTACAAACTGCAACTTTTGTCGCACGTTTGCGGCTTGAAAAACTCCAAAGGCCGTGACTCGTGTAAATACCAGCCGTAAAAAATGTTTTGATTACTGTCTAGCCATTGTGAAAAATAAACTGTGAAATAAGTTATGTTAATGTGCTTATGGATGTTCTGTTACCATGGTTACCAAGTAGAGGTTGAGCCATCACTTTACAACAATAATCTGAGCCTGAACTTATTTTCTTCTTCATCTTTTTCTGAAGGTTCCGTTCAAACAGCGGGAATAAAATCAACATGCTGGCTCAAATGCTAGTTGGTAACCTTGGTCATAGAATATCAGTATATACATTCTGAACAAACATTTTGATTCCATATTAATACGTCTGGCTTGAAGACATATACCACAAGGTTAGAAATAAATTTAAGCAGCTTTTCAATCTGTGTTTTTTTTTTCATTATTTTAGCTTGGCTATCTTAATCAAACTAAACAGTAGTACCAGTATTTGGTGTTATCTTCAGTTAAACATTTATATCGAGACATACAATATCATATTTCAGCAAAGTGTATTTTTAACTTCACAATCTGGGCTGTACATCAGCTATGTTCTTTAGTAGCTGCTAATTTCCATTTGCCAAACAAAGGATGTTATTTAATTTTTAGTGTTTTGAAAACTGAAGGAAAGCTGAAGCGATCCATGCTGTGGGGAAATTCTACTAATTTACAGCATGTCACCTTTACAATAGAAGCATACACTTTCCAAAAAATCGCACAGTGTATGCCCGGCCTAATACAACTTAAATCAGCAGTATCCTTCACCTGCACTTTGCAAAGGTATTGCCATACTTAACCAATACTAACCATTGGATGGGACACATGCTCAACTACACTACTTCCTTAACTTCAGCAGGTTCTGTCTTTCATTGCTGGACAGCCTGATTAATACAAGTGTCTCTGACCTCAGTTACCCTAACACCATGGGTCAATCAGTCAATCCAGTTATGAAAGAGAGGAAACAAAAGAACTGCTGAAGGTCAGGAAGTGGTCAAATTGTGCATAAAGCCCATTGTACTGCTCCTTCAACCACTTGCTTATAACACACCTTACTCTCTTAACTTCTTAACATTTGTTGCTTGACTTTTTGCCTGCTTTACAGATTTTTGGGAGTGCTACATTCAGTGTTACATTTTTCTGATCGCTCAGGTTTAAGCTGCATATCCAAGCACCGTCATTAGTTTGGTGAAAACAAGGTTGTTGTAGTATTTTTCCCAGTGGAATACTGTGAAATTACCATCAAAATAATGCAATTAGTAACCAGTAATTTACCGTAAATTCCCATAAAAATTTTTTAGGGGGTTTAGATTTTTGTCCTCCTTTAAAAATACAAGCCTTTATTTAAAAAAAAATATTTTGAGTTTACTGTTGTTGTCTTTGACAAATATGTAAACTAGTTTGATGCTCTGACACACCTAACAGGGACAAACAGGCAAAAACAAAAAAAACTAAAAAACTGTAGATTTTTACAAAAGACCAGATAAAGGGGCTCAGGCTATGGTCAGATCACCCATGAATGAGACAGCTAAATGAACACTTACCCCAGCCAATCAAAATGTACCACCAAAAGTACTTCCTCTCAGAGAAGAAGGAGACTGCCAATAGAGCGTGAAGGTAGAGGCCCTCCACCAGCAGCCAAAAGTAACTCGCCGTGGCTCCAAACTGGAAGAGGACCACTACTGCCCTGCAGCCCACCTGCAACACATGCACCTGTCTGTGAATCACTGTATTCCCTGTAAATATGAGGTAAATGTTTATGACAGTAATCTGGTTTGATAACCTTTCAATCTAAAATCCCTGTCAGTGTGCTTATGAACATGTTTCTGTGACCTCTAAGAAGTCACAAATATTTTCTCTTGCTGTGAATATGGCAGAAGCCTCTCGGAAGCGTATTAGTAACCAGTTAGCAACTTAGTGCTAGTAGGTTCCCAATGGGAAATTACATTGGGACCAAGTAGCACTAAATTGGTGACTTAGAAACGACTGTCAAGGAACGCTATGGACAGGAATCATGGAAACACGCAAGAGGAGGAGAGTTTTGTGTCGTAGGTCGTGGATGAGTCTCCTCGATCATACATTTTTTATTTAGAGGAGGAAAGTGGGGACTAATATGTTTTGTTGAAGAGGACGCCAGGGTGGCAGAAGCTTTGTTTGGTGTAGAAGGCTTACAGCCGTACATGTTTGGCCCTTGCCTCGCAAGGCTGCCACTTCTGTTAGCTCTACGCCTGCTGAAGACACAGACGTCCCATCCCCGTGTTAACTCAATGGTTAAATAAATTATTCTAATTTCTTATTTAAACCATTGCGTATATTAGCTGCGACATATGACTCAAGACGCTATGACTGAAAAACTTTGATTGGCAGATGACCGTTGATATATGATTGGCCGAATTTAGGTGTAGAAGCTGCTGTATAACTAACTGGCCTGCGTAAAATAAATAAAACACAGAATTTAAGAAAGGGTTGTTTTTTTTTTAAATAGAAATTTTCTAAATTATGGGACATTATGTTCTGATAAAGAGTACATTTATGTTTAAGCCAGAATGATTTGACATTTAAATATGACTTCCCTATGACTTTAACTTTCAAGTGTCCCTCACAATAAAGTCATATTCATATCTGTAAGTGGTGGCTGGATTGTACATGGGGGTTTATACGTGAATGGGACGGCCACTTCCCTTCAATGGAAAGGGAAAACAGCAATTGCTATGGCAACACAGGGACACAGAAGCTCCGAGGCACAGGTTAACGTTGGCATTTTCTTAAAAATAAATCTATCCATTCAAATAAAATTATTTCAAACAGTACCTTCCAATTTGGGATTAATGACGTGTTTTTTCTTTTTCCTAACTTGTGATTTTCTGTCAGTGTGACGAAGATGCAGTAAACTGCCGGAACTTACAATTGAGTGCATGTGTTTCCTCTGTAACTAGTTTACTAACCCTAAGTACTAACCCTCAGTTTGCACATTCACACGAAGGGTGCGCCATATTAAGGGCCATCCCAAACCACATAATGGGTAGGGCGAGTGGACCATTCAGTCCTTAAATAGTGAGACTGCAGCAGTGCAGGCTCATAGGGTCCATTTCTCAATTCACAAGAACGTGAGTACGGACTCGTATCCTCGCCAAGTATGTTCTTTAAAAGAACACAGAAAAGTATGGACATGGTGAGAACGGGAGCACGCAGCATAAATACGGGTCAGTAGGAACAGAAGCGTAATTGTGATATCACCACATGCCCGGCTCCTGTGGAGCTGCAATCACCTCCTGTTATTAATAGTCTTTAGATAATAATAAATTAGTACTTTTTTCATTTAGTGGGGAATAATAATTAACAGAGACAGATAAACACAAATCAAATGAACATTTTGCCAAATTAAACAAAAAAAATCGCCATCATAGCCAGTGGTCCTTCACACACGGCTATGCCGAGAGAGGGCTGTTGCAGACGGGCTGTGGTTAGCCGTTAGCCTTGGAGGTCCGCTGGTTGCGCATTCCTCTCAACCTCTTTTTTTTAAACGACGCATTAAATTGGTAAATGGACAATATAGTAACGCTTTAAAGTATAATATTCTCGCCTCAAATGATCTTAAAACGTAATTTCATTGAACAACAGCAACAGAAAAGAGAACTTTTAACTTCAGCCACAGACTTGCTATTTAAGGGCTGAATGGTCCACTCCCTCATTACGGGCTTTGGGATGGCCCTTAATGCGGCGGACCCTCTGCTGGGTTGCGCAAACAGAGTGTTAGTGCTTAGGGTTAGTGTTTAGGGGCCGGTTTGGGATTCAGCCATAGTGTTAGCAGTCGTGGCAACCCAGCAAAAAGTACCATTAAATGTTGGAAAAAGCACAAATGATTCCAACTGCGCCACCTACTGGCTGGGATGAGTTAAACTCCAGGCCAGTCCTTTAAATATTTTCCCCTTGAAACGACAATCAACCCAGGCTGCTTATTATGTCACAGAAGCAAACCACGTAAATTCACAACTTTAATTTTAATTTTAGTTTGCTTTAAAGCCACATTGTTGATCTCAGTAGAATAAAACTTGTTTTTAAAAAACATTAATTCCATAAGTGATTGATCTGAAAACAATAGAGTATCCTACTTCAGTTAACCTAAGCTGTTCACTAACGCTGCTCTGAAGCATTTATTTTTCAATTAAATGAGGCAGTATGCATGCATTAAGATGAAAAACAAATCAATTTATGCACGCTAACAAGCTGCAGAGAAAACAAAAAGTGCCATATCTTCAAAGGACAGCACCACAGTTACTGTGAGATAATTGCAGCTGTGTGAAACCTGCTGGTATAAAAGACAAGAACAACCTGGAGCAAAAAGCTGAAATTATCTAAAATGGAAAAACTTATCCTCCCTTCTTGTGATGTGCTCCCTATGTTAAACATCCTATAGTCTACAGATGAAATATTTTTTGCTTTTCTTATACAGTACAAAAACAACCCTTTGGAATGAGATGAACATTTTCCTCATTCATCAAGTAAAAATAACAGGATGAAATCAGAGTTAAAACAGCTTAATCTTTTTAACTCTGTCCAGTAGGTTTGGTTTGTTCAGATAACATGCAAAAATTTCATATATTATATAAAATTATTTGTATCTTAGTTTTTAAATGTATCCTAATAATCAGTCCATTATTTATGGATGATTGTGGGACATTTAAAACAATGCAGATCCTTTGTTTCTCTTATTCAGACAATGAGTCAAAGGCTACCTTGGCCAGACTCACAAGAAGTTTAAATTACTCATATCAGCTAAACTTGATGGGTTTCCCTTTATTTTTAGAGCTTCTAGTTTTGTGAATCACATACTGAGACAGTGCAGATAGCGCTGATAAAAAATTTAAATGGCCTTAAGCATAAAAAACCCTCTTAAACCACCTAAACCACATTCCATTCCCAACACATTTGGGTGTTTTTTCTTATCAAGTTAAGAAATGTCTTAGAAACGTAGCAGCTGTGTTTGGAGCGCGTGAATCTTTGAATCTAATAGACAAAATACCTAAAGTCAGCCAATAAAAATCATCCTTCAGAGCAGCAGGTTATTTACAGTCTAATGATGTAATTCTCTGTAGAGATAACGCAGATGAATCAGAGGAAGTGAGATTTGGGAGGAAAAAAAAGAAACACTTGATATTCACATAAAAATGAAACAGCTGTGTTACACGAAACAGCACCAGGATTTTATCTGACTCCTATTGTTACATTAACACTTATGTTAATAGTGTTATCACAGTTATTTGCTTCAAACCAGAGATCCCAGCTGGGAATGCGATTTATAGGCAACGATGTGTGCAGTCCAGGTTCAATGTTAAACAAACAGGAACTCTCACAACATCCTGCTTTACAGAAGAATAGGACAACGTTTCAGGAGCAAAAAGGACTCTGCAAACACTGTTACACCCAAAACGGTAGGTACACTATGAGGCTGTGCATTTAGGGCAGCAAAGTCTGGAGGAACAGTTGCATCAAGTTAGAGAAAAACAACAACAATTTCATAAAAAAGTGAACTGAAATCTCAGTGTTTGGTCTGATTTGTGTCCTCCAACGGCACGGATGTTTGGGTCTAATGGCATTTATTTGGTCTGAAGCATGATGGTTATTTTCTTTACTTCTTTTCTATAATCTGAGCTCTAATGTTTGGTAATGTTATGAGGCTTTCTTAAAATTTACACTTCTGCAGTATAAGCACAGAGTTTCCATTACCCGATCCATCGCTGAAGCACAGTTTGTCCAACGCATGCTCGAACAGAATAACCTCCGTGTTGGCAATACATTGTTTATTTTTTAACCATTTTATTCTTTTGTCTCTTTTCGGGCAGGGGGTTCCTTTTCAATATTTTTGTATTTGCTTAAATATTGGATATTCTAAAAACAAAAATAAAAAAGCAATACATAAAAAAACACTTAAATAGCCCTTCGAACGTTACTGACTGCTCTGAGCATGTCCCGACGATGACATCACGCAATACAATGGAGACAATGTAAAACTTATCCATTTCTTCCAGAAAAGTCTTCAGTATTTTCTATACGATGTAGTTTAGCATTCTTTAATGTTTTAAGTATATAAATAAGTATTTTCGGTAACGTTATTACATAATTTTCGGCGACCCGAATCGTATTATTCTGTTTGCGCATGCGCAGGTCGGATCATGCTTCAGAGACAGATCGGGTAGTGACAAGCGGCGTTGAAAGGGGATCAGTACTCACTAATGACTGGCAGTTCTCCATCTCATCGTACAGAACCACATCCTTTATAAAAACAGTGATGGCTTTGAGGATGAGGGACACAAACAGATGCATGTGGATGTAGTTTCTTGTGCAGTGGAGCTTCCTGTGGAAAAACACACAAAAAAACTGAATGTTCAAATTTTTTGTCATTGACCTGCATTAGTTTAGACTAGAAATCCAGAAATAGATTATTGGTTAGAAGCATTTGTTTTTGTTTTTCTTATATTTATAAGCCATGAATAAATGTAAGATCATCTGAATCAGCAGAAATATAAAGAAGACAAACTTCTAAGAACCTCTCCAGTGCCGTGCCACTAACATAAATCCTCCTCTCTAAGTGTTTCCAAACAGATGACCTCTCATTAGGCAGACTACTTTCGTTGATTTGTGCAAACCCATCAGGCGAATCATCTGAGCAGGTGGGATGAAACGCCGCACCGCCTCAGCTGGCCGCCTAGGCTCTTCATCTAAGGCTGAATATAAACAGCCAAGGCTCTTGACATCCTGTGTTTCTACTCCAGAGTGCAAGCTATTGGCATTTCATAACCCCATGGAGTAAACACTGGCCTTGTTGTTTAGCCCATCATGTGCAAACAGCACAAATGCAAACTGAGAGGAATGAGCTGCTTGTTAAAAAACCCAGGATCTCAACCATTAAACCTATCAGTGTCACATTGTTTAAATGGAAGTCCAGACAGAGGGTCACTGTGCAGGTCATGGTGAAAACATCATCCAACCCTCTAGGTTTGACTTTAGGCTGTAGCTTGTGGTTTATAGTCACTGATAGTGTTGCAGCGTTAAGAGGAAATATTCAGTTTTGTTCATGACCAAAATTTTAAGACCATAAGTGAGGGTAGAAATGTAGACCAGCTATGCTCTCTCACCACAATGTAAAGCGTCTACATTATACCGGTGGCTGCACACATCCTTCTGCATCCTCCATTAACTAATGATTAACATCCCCAGATAACTGAGCTCTTTCACTTAGGGCAGGAACTTCCACCCTGGAGAGAGCAGGCCCCTTTTTTTCCATCCAAGCACCATGGTCGAACTGATCTTCAGCCTCTGAGGGACCCATCAGAATCCTCTCAGCTATTAAAAGCAGAGACGAAATCTGTCGGTCCCAAAAGTAGACCCGGCCAAGTTTCTCTATAATGAAATCAGATATTCAGTTTATTTCAACATCAACACAAGATGCCCCTAGGTTTTATAGAAATTTGGTTGCTGTAAAACTACTTTTTTTAGAAAGAACATTTTGTATATACAGAGTGTATACAAAACCAAATCCTGTTTTGTATACACTCTGTGTATACAAAATGACAATAAAGTTTGTCTAAGTCTAAGTCTAGAGTAGGTGTTATACCTCCTCCGCCCTGGCTGTGTGCACCCTAACTGCTCAACCCTGTTTCTTAAAACTATAAAATATTTTTTCCCATGGGTAATAATCGATATTATTGCAACAATATATATAAGTTAGACAATTATTAATTTCTACAGTACTACATTTATTTGCACGTTGCACTAAAGTGACCTAACTGCACAGTTTTGCCCCGAAGCAACTACGGAAACCCTACAATTTCTATAAGAAAAAAAATGCATAAAGTGTATTTATCGGATAAACAATGCTTAGGCACATACTCATGCACATCAAAACAGATTTTTGCAAAATCTTTTTAAATGTTTACATTTCAAACAGAGGAAGCTATCTTACAACTGCAAGTAGTGGATCTACGACAAAAAACAACAACTTTAAAGTAAAAAAATAAAAAAACAAATGGATAATTAAATCTCAGCGTTTTCAATTGTTTTTTTCTTCTTTCCTTTTTATTTGACAAAAAGCAACAACAGGAAAAAGTTCTGCTGTGTTGCTTTATGAAATTTCTTTAATAAAATATTGTAGAAAAAAAAAAATAAAAAACACAAACGGTGCCTCTTAATCATTTTTGTTTTAGGCTATAGTTGGGCAGTACCTTTAATATTTTAAAGACTGAACAAAGCCAAACACTGTGTGAAGGAATTTTTTGACAATAATCCTTACCGAAAGAGACACAGTATGAGGATTGCAGCCATCAGAGAAATAAGGGAAACGCTGTGACCGATTGTGTAGCCCACCTTGATGGTACTGTAAAACTCTCCCTGTAAAAACATCATCCATCACATCAGACTCAGGCCAGTCTTTCAGAGATCTTTAAACATTGGTTCACCACATTATGCAAGCGCCAAACTGACCAAATGTCCTTCCACAGTGCTGTTGGGATTGTAGCCGCAGTCCATTATATAGGAGTCCAGGCTGCTTGGGGGCCAGCCATGCACAGTGCAGGTCTTTGACAGATTACCTAAGGCATAGATAGATAAGGATTGAAGGGTTATCATTTCATGCAAATAATGTGTTTTACATTTTTCATTTAAAAGTAAAGCAGGAACCAGGATTCCCGAAAAGGAAATAAACAAATATCCCATTAACTCACTCCTTATTGTGCCACTGTGAAATAAATATGTCTCTGTGGAATACTCCTAAACACTAAAAGGAAAAGGAAAAACCGGCTGAATGGGATCAATTTCCAACTAGCTCTGAGATACAGAGAGAGTTCCCATGTGTATTTGCCTCCATCCGTATGTTAAACAAACACACAAACATCAAGAGGTCAGGCAGTGGTGTTTTCCTTGAGGGTTAGAGGTGACAATTTTGAAGAGAAATAGCTTAAAGACAGAATGTTGTTCCTTAATGAACATATTACACCTTTACAGTTAAGATCTGTGGTCTGAAATACTGGGGAAGAGAAGAAAAGGAATAGAAAATGAGCTTAGGAGAACAGGGGAGATAAGAGGAGCCCTAAAGATTTCTGCAAGTTGGAAAATATTAAGGACAGAAAGGAGAGCAGCAGAAAGGAGATTTAAGCTCACTGGAGAGATTCAAAAATGAGGCATACTGGAAAGGACAGAGCAAAAGTATATGAAAACAAAGGAAAGGAAACTCAAATATGAAAAAAGAAATCTGTAACTGAACAGAAAGATACACAGCAAATTTAACATAAAAATACATAAAAAGGGGCAATCGTCTTAATTTTTTTTATGCATTCTTAATTCATTCAAATATAACTAAGACTGTGGTATTATCTGAAAACATATTAATAGAAGTGTTGCTCTTTAAGGCTCTGCAACGGTTATACAAGTTTCCTGCCAAACCATTAATTAGGACCTCCAAACCAGCAAAATAGATAAAAATATCATAAAAATGTTGCATGATGCATGTTGTTTTTATAATTCAGTTAAAATTTAATTAACTGTTACTTAGTTTAACTCAAGTGTGTCAGATAATGGATGGATGGATGGATGGATGGATGGATGGATGGATGGATGGATGGATGGATGGATGGATGGATGGATGGATGGATGGATGGATGGATGGATGGATGGATGGATGGATGGATGGATGGATGGATGGATGGATGGATAGTTTAACTCATACGTTAATTACATAAATACAAGATTATTATATTGTTTGAAAAATCTTCTAACATTGCTGTTATGGTCTATACCAGGGGTCACCAGTGTGGTGCCTGCGGGCACCGAGGGGCCTTTGAGGACCACATGGGGTGCCTCCAGCAACTTCGTAAAACAGAACAATTCACCAGTAGGCTGAGTTTAAAATTCTAGTTTATTCTGTTGCTATTCTTTTTAAACATTTTTAATCATCTATGGGAATATAAAAAAGAAAATTAGAAATTAAAAACACACAATAAAAATAGTTTAGGTGAATGCTAATTCCTCCAGTTCATTGGTCAGTATTGGTAGTGTCATGGTTTTGGTTCAGTTCATGTTTTATCTGAGTTTTCATTGGTCTTATTTCCATTCTTGTGTTCTAGCTATTTTTGATTGAGTTCTTAGATATTTCCTGTTTGCCCTCTTGTGTCAGTCTCATTTTCTTTAGCTTCCTTCCTGTCTCTGTTCACACCTGCTCTCAATCTGTTAATTAGCCTGGTCTGTTTTTCTCTCCCATTTATTGTCCCTCTGTTCAGTAACTCTTTGCTGGTTTGTCATCATTACTTTGCCCCCTTCTTGTTGTGTGTATTACTGGTTTTCAGCATTTTATTTTTATTTTTTTGTGGATTTATGGTTTTGGACTTTTGCTTATGTTGAACATCATTCTATATTAAGCCTTCAAGAAACCACCTCAAGCTTTTGTGTCTGCATTTGGGTCCTGTCAACCTCCCACCCCCACCTTGACAGGTAGCACATCCTATGACTCAGTACCTGTGAAGTAGCTCTAAGCCTTAAAAAGGTTGGTGACCCCTGGTTTATACATTCATATAGAGTTTGTGGGTTTTAAAGCCGGGCATACACTGTGCGATTTTTTTCAATCGTTGCACCCAGCTGGTGCTCACACTTTACGATTAACCGCAGGGTTTAGTCGTACAGTGTGAGAACAAACGGGGAGATGTTTCTGAGCTTACTACTCACTGGGGCAGCTGCTATGTAGTTTCCTGTGTCAGCTTAGTCATCAAACAGAAAAAGTCAGAAAATTTGGTGCTTCATTTTGCCAGTGAGCTTTAAGGAGATGTTGAATTAATTTTCAGCCCACATTGCCAAATAAACTGATAACTACTTAATCCAGGACTCATACTATGAAGATTTTTGCCTGAAGCCAAAATATAAAACTGTTGGCAATTGGTTTCCGAACCATATCATTTGTCCAGAGAGTTTACTAGTGATCTGCTAGTAACCTTTTACATTCCACCTTCTGCCGTTGCCAACACTGCATGTGTGGTACAGTAATCCGTTGGCACACAGCCAAATGTATTTGTGGCAATAACTGGTGATTTAAAGCATGCCTCACTCTATACTGCACAGCCAATGTTCCAACAGTTTACCAACTGCTGCACCAGAGAAAACAAACTTTGGACTTGTTTTATGCAAATGTCAAGGACTCATCTATCAAGTAAGACCTCCTCTTGAGAAATCAAATCACAGTCTGACTGATCACAGGGAGATTGTTGAAAAGTTCAGAAGAAGAACAGGTTAAATCCTGTTAATATCATAGGAGAAGAAGTGGAGGATTATAAATACCTTGGTGTTCACCTGTACGTCAAACTAGAAGGGACCAAGCAGACTGTACTTCCTAAGGAAGCTTAGGTCCCTTGGTGTTTGCTGCAAGAAGCTACATACATTATCTTCTATAAGCCAATTGTGGAGAGTATGATCTCTTCCTCCTTTATCTGCTGGGGTAATATCATCAGATCAAATGACTTAAAAAAGCTCAACGAGCTAATAAAGGGGGTTGTTTCTGTTCTAGGAACTCCTCTAGAACCTCTGGATATTATTTCACAAAGATGAATCCTTCAGATATAAAAGATCGTTCCTGCCTACAGCTATCAACACCTTCAACACCTCAATGAAAGAAAAAAAAAAACCCTATCAGTTACTACAACATGAAATTACCCTTTGGGATTAATAAAATACTTTTGAATTTCCCTGGATTGAAATAGCCAGGACAAAAATCTAGCCTAAGATAAACTTAACAGAAAATCTAAGCCAGGATGCAGAACTTCATGGAAAAGGAGTCATAACTAAAATATCTGGGTGACATCGTTTTAAGTAGGCTGATACTTATGCTTCTAAAACATCTTTATTTTGGTCTGATACCGTTTTTATAAATAAACTGAAACTTTGCGAATATCATTTGCTTTAAAAAAAACACTAAATCTCTGTGTAATCAATCAATAAACGAACTTCCCTCTTTCCTATTTAAATTACTAAATTTAAGTATTAAATAAACTATAATAAACTAACTTTTTGGTAAAATTTCAAATTTATAGCAATTCACAATCGCATGGTTTGACCAACACATTCAACTCCATTTAACAGTCAATTTAAAAAGTCAGAGTTGATTTTTTTCTTTTTTTTTTACGTATAAATATCTCAATAAGCGTCATCGTCACTTCAGTGTGATAACATACAATGATGAACCTCTGTGCATACAATTAATGGGATGGGTTTACACTTATCCTAGTGTCATAAGCTTGAACTTAAAAAACGACAAATAGTTTCTCAAATTATGCATGTTAAAAATAGTCCTGCTATGCTGATGTTCCTATCCTCTAAGTATGTGCATTCTCTGAGCACCAGTGGCCCGATTCTAGTAGTACATAAACATTGGGGATCAAATTAGCTCTGTCCTTGCTGTACTTTGCTCCTTATTGCAGTTTGGAACTGTCTTCTTAAAGCCAGACATCCAAACTAGGGTAAGTGTATGTCGCTAGAATCTTTTACGCAGATAAGGCAGATTTTCTTTGGGAATGGCACAGAAGGAGAATTAAAGCAGAAGTGTATATGTGCTTCATTTAGAGACAGATTAGAAATAAAAGACAGACATGATAAAGTTCAGAGAAGATATCCCTCCAAGGATCACTGGTAATGAGATACATGGTCCATGTGCTCCTTACTGCCCCTGTTTGATTTGTTGGTTGTTATTGTGAAGATAGAATTTGTCAAGTCCGTCTGGACAGGGAAGCTTAAAGTATCTAGCTGTTTTTCTCATCAGCCTATTATCAGTGATTTGCTCCAGGCCCCTGCAAAATCTTTCCAGAACTAATGAGTGAATGCTCTGCAGTTTCTGTTGCTGTTCTTTCTAATATGGAAATTTTCACTTTTAAATAAAAACTGAAATGAAGAATTCAGTCGGCTATCTGTGAAGTTTCCTCATCTCATTTTGGGATGATAAGGAACGCTGGTGACATTAATCTGATTGCTTCACGTTGCTCTGCACATCAAAATGTTGGACTTCTCTAACATTTCCCAACCATATCACTTTACGCTGCCTCTATTGAATCGAAGCCATGTTGGGAAACGGTTCAGAGTCTAAGAAAGATTTTCGGCATTGACATTGGTCAGCTCACAAATACCTGAGCGGCACACTGCAGAGGAGAATGAGGTTTAGCTACTTCAAACAATATGACAAGACATAAAGAGGGAGATAAGCCCCTGCTGTTTCAGCCAATGCTACCACTGGATTTGGTGTGTTTGAGGGACGTCCAGAAGAATGTTTTCATCATTCCTGAAAAACAGACGCAGAGGATTTTCAGCTCCATACGCGACAATGGAGCCCAAATTAGTTCAAAGTAGTTGTTTGTTTTTTAACCTATCTATTTCTACACCAGTTCTGTCATTGTTATCTGCCCAAATACACCATAGGCACTGGTTACTTCTGGAGGAAAGATGGATGTTAGGGGAATAATATTATCCTCAGCAGCTTTACGGCAAGCAGGTAAAAGCATTGACATCCAGGTACTTTGTCACTGTGAGCCTGGAGAGTAGATTAGACTCCCTTGTCATTAAAGAGATGAATGACTGCGTATTTGCGTTCAACCTACTAGGTAAAGAGTTCATGAGAATGGCAAGCTGTCTTAGCTAAATTTATGACTTGGCCCCTCAATCTCTGTGGCGCCGTGTTTCGTAATGCTTGTTTTTACTGCGTGAGCCTTATAAAAAGAAGGGCTCAGGATGTGTCAATAGCTTCAGTCTTTCCCAACTTTTCCCAACAGTGAAACTGAACTGACCTTTATCCAGTTTTTCAATAATATCTACAAAAATAAAGCATGCGCAGGCATTCATTATGTTCCTGTAAACTCTCAAGGTAAATAAGAACAAACGCACAATGGTGGAATAAGAATATGAAATTTCTTTGCTCCTCCAATACTGATTTATAGAGCTTCAAAAATAGTTCACAATGTACACAATCTAAGATTATTCATCGTCCCCTACTTGTGACTTCCTTTTATAACCTGGGAGCAGAGCATGTTTAGCCAACAGACCTGCACTAATTAGGTGATTTACAGACATCATCTGCAACAAAAGGTCATCTATAGTAATGCTTCTCTCTGTTGAGACCCCTTGCTCTTCCTCCTGTCCTAACGCCATCAGGGCCTAGTTGATCCTCTGATTCTTCGACATGTCTAGTAAACATATATTTCCTTTTAACAGTCTCAAGAAACTGATGCTTTTGAATCTTTCCTTCCATCTTTTCCCTGGAGTGCTGCGTTGGCCTAGGTCACACCAGCTCCCATCTGGGTCAAAGCAAAGCTTCCCACAGAAGCCTGCTTCGCGGAACTGAACTCTTTATAAGCTCATCGTAAATCTTGGGTCTAACCCCATCTCAACCCCCGAAACCTGACGTACAAAACACTGTATTGGATCAAAGCACCAGACAGATGGTTCCTCTGGCTCAAGGTTGAATATATCAATCCGTCTTTTAATCATTTTAGTCGAACCTTGGACAATAGAGAGATACATAACGCTCGGCAATAGACACACATTCGTGCACAGTTGTGTACATTTTGTCACATTATTAATCAATATTAATGAAGTTTAATACAACTCATCATAAAAAAGCAGTGCAGCTTGTGTAAGTTAATGTAAGTTTTATGGATGTTTTTACCAATAAAAGAGTTTGGGAGTATGACATATATTTGCATGCAGATCCTTTTACTCATAAACATCCCTGAATGAAATCTAAGGCAACTAGTTTTTGCAATAAGGTCACTGATTCTTTAACTTGCTTTATAATCAAGACTGGGATGATAAATGAATTCTAACTTCAGAGAATGGTGGATCTGCTGAACAAGTATTTAAATATCATACCATCCTCCTCATATTTTAATCTATATTTCCTTTACTTTTCTCAGTTATGAGCAACCTTTTTTTGTTAGTCTCTTTAGTAAAATATTAAAAAAGTAGATACAAGCTTTTATTTATAACACCAGAAAATGCAAAAAAAGTGTTATTGTTAGGTTTGAAAGAAACATTATTTATAAAGGTAGAGACATGCATAAATTCTTAGAAATAGCTGTGAAAACATCAAGGTATCAAAGCCAAAGTGCAGTGTAGAGTTCAGGCTGGTAAATTATCCTTTTACTAATAGCACAACTCTTTTTATAGATTTAGAAAGCAGTGGTAGCTGTTGTAGAAAAAAAAAATAAAACCTTAAAAAAATTTGTTTTTTTTTTAAAATAACTAAAACATATGGGCAGCCTTTATAAAAGGCAGAGTTTTTCAGTATTCAGTTAAACCTCAATGTTGTTTTTTTTAACATAACATTGAGGTTTAACTGAATACTGAATACAAATGGGTCCTTTAAGTCTTACAGCATAATTAAACCAAAAAGACTTGGTGTGACAATTAGGTACACACTGAGAGATGCTGGGATCTCCTGTGAGAATCGCTTTAGGAAGTACAATCCAATCATCTTACAATTCAGCCAGTAACTTTCCTCACACACTGGTTTAGTTCCTACATAATTAGCATTGCATCACTGCAAGACTCTCATACATTAAAGAAAGACAAACAAACAGCATGTCTCTGATGGTGCTTTGAGAATTGTTTATCTCCTGTCGCTCAGTTGTGCCATATATTGAGATAACAGTGTGTGATCGTGGAGCCAATTTACATCATAAGACCAGTGAGACAATCTCTGCACTCCATATTTCCAGTTTTCGTTTCACATACAGTATAGAGCTTGATAATTTCAATGAAAACTATGCATATTTCTGTCGACTACAGAAAGAAATGCAGATTTAAGCCAAAGCTGTGCATAAAAATTATAAAATATGAGTCCATTTTAGCTTCAAAAAAGCAACACTTCCCCATAAAGAAAAAAACTTGGTGACTGGATTGTCATACTGTAGATACATACCGTTATACATATATCTATCTTTGTATTTACTTGTAGTTGGTAAGCTATGTATGTTTAGTTGTATTTAAACTGGACTATATACATTGAAGGCCTTAGCCATTTAAATGGGTAAATTATATTAGACTCACTGACCATTGAGTGATCAGAAAGAAAACAAAGCACATTGGCATATTTCATTACATGTATCTTTTCTCTCTGAGAAAGGTTCAGATGGGTGTTCTTAAGTGATGACTTAATCAACGTATATGCTGAAACAGAATTAGAAACCTAAATAAAATTAAAAATCAATCCTGTTGTGGCTTTTTTGGGAGTGGTGGCCTAGTGGTTAAGGCATAGATCTTGGAATCCTGAGGTTCTGAGTTCGAGCCCCACTCCCACAGACTTCCACTCTAGGTCTCTGAGCAATACCCTTAACCCCTCACTACTCACACAATGGCAGCCTACTGCTCCCCATGAGGATGGGTTAAATCCCATTGCCCCCCCATATCTGTCAGACCTCCTGCATGTTCCCACCCCCTCCCGTGCTCTTAGATCCTCATCTGCTTTGCACCTGTCTGTCCCCTCCGCCCGTCTCACCACCATGGGGAGCAGAGCATTCAGCCGCTCTGCCCCCCGCCTCTGGAACTCTCTACCACCCCAACTTCGAAATACGGACTCAATTCTCCATTTTAAAATACAACTCAAAACCCATCTGTTCAAGATTGCTTATTCTCTTTAAAAATATCAATTTCACTGTCACAGCCTCTGTATTTTTAAATGTTTTTAAATGTTTTTATAATTATAATTTTTATTTTTTCTGACACTTTTTATGTTTTGTACGGTGACCTTGAGTGTCCAGAAAGGCGCCTTTTTAAATAAAATGTATTATTATTATTATTATAAATACAGAGGCACATTTCTCCATTGTGAGATCATTAAAGTTCAATTATTGCTATTAAATACAAAAACTTCGGATTGCAAACCTTTATTGTCAAAGTTTTAGATCTATATTGTTTCCTGACATTAGAAACAGGAGAATATAAGAACAGCTTTATTGGAGATTTCCAATAAAATATAATTTGTGTTAAAACTGCAAAGTTGTCAAATAAACAGGAAAAGATAGGAGGCTTACATAACATTAGTAATTACCGTATTGATGATGGACATGAATTGTTCTTTTTTAGAATGCTAACTTTAGTTCAGAATGCAGGTCGATCCTTAACTGTGAACTCTACGGACCTAAATTTATTCAGTTTTAAGTGTTTTAGGTATAGACAATTTTGTTTTTTCACAAAACTGTTTTTTATTTTTTTATGTGTGAAATGCCAGTGGACAGCAGTAGATCAAAAGATCCTTTATGCACTGACACATTCTGCATCAGAGCAAACAAAGGTGCACTGATAAGGCTTGGACAAAAAAAGAAGTTAAGCCAATATTTGAAAATGTTTAGTGTCCAATCAAACAAGCCTATATAATCTTTAACAAGGGCAAACTGTCAAAAACCTTAGCCTTTTAAATATTTAAGGATCCTGGCTGACAATGAAAGGTTTAAATTCCTAGCACCATGAGAAAAAGAACAATCATCAGGCAACCAAGTCTTAAAGCTTCATAAAGGGAATATTCATACATTTTTTTAATGTTGAAAAGAAACCTAAAGCATGAAACAAGGTATAATCAAATGTACAATGTTATCAACTACAAAAGCCAGTTAGTCAGACATTGGCAAAGATGCAGTATAAAAGGAGAGGCAGACACCCTCCTGCAAGCTATTTGAGAAAATACAAAATGTTACAGTTTGCATTTCAATTTGTATTTTTTTCTCCATTTTTGTTTTGTGCATTTAGAGTCAAATATAAATAATCTTTTTAAGCCACCAAAATACCAAAAAGACATTGCTGTGCTGCAAAACCTTAACCTTGAAGTAATTAAGAATAAGATGCATTCTTGTAGAGAACTGTTAGTACACCTGGAACTAAGAAGTGACAAGTCTCAGCTAGACATAATATGGCTCCCTAGCTAGGCTTACCTTGTTTAGAAAAATAAAAGATTATGACAACAAGGTACAACAAAATCATATTTCTGAAATCTAATACATTAATAAAAGTTGGCCAAAAGACTACATTCATTATTACAGTTGCGTCATGTTTCTGCCCGTAAATAACTATGCAATGACCGAAAAAGAAATTGATTAACAGATGACCATTGATGTATGATTGGCCGAATTTAGGTGTACAAGCTGACGTATAATTAACTGGCCTGCATAAGATAATGAAAAAAAACAAACACAGATTTTAAGACAGGATTTTTTTTAAAATAGAAATGTTCTAACTTTCGGGACAATATGGTCTGATAAAGAATACATTTATATACATGTTTTATAGAAAGAAGGCAGAGAATGTGAATTAATAACCACATATTATCGCTGAATTCACACACTGCATTTAGTCTGAATTGATAGACTTTAAAAAAAAAAAGTTTTAATTTGCAGAAATAAGTTGACTTGTAAAGAGATATAGAGTTATAAAAAGCAGTTCCCAGGTTTGGTAGTGTGCATCTAAAACAATAGAAAACTGCTTAGAAATCTTTATAGAAATCATGAAGATATCAGGACACTCCAACAAAAGAAATGTCATTTATAAACTGGAGACTTACGAGGAAGAGCATTGCTGGTGAAGTAGAAGAGATACTTGGGGCATGGGATGGTAACCACCTCTCCGACGTCAGCGGCGGGCCAGCATGTGATCTTGTCCCAAGTGATATTGCAGCCTAACCAGAAAAAAGAGGGATAGCAGAGTTGTAGTTTAACACACATCTCTGCAGCTTCTCTACTGTTACCCACTCTTTACTCCATCCAGACAGTGTCTTGTCCACGACCAAAATCTAATAAATTAGCAAAGATTCCCAAAGGAGTAAATCATTATAATCTAATTAAAATCAAAATAACTCCAATTGGGGAAAAAGTTAAAACAATTAAATGCGGTCTGTTTAACATAAGATTGCTTTCCTCTAAAAGTCTACTAGTTAATGACTTGATTTGTGATAATCACATTGACTTGTTTTGCCTTACAGAAACCTGGCTGCAGCAAGAGGATTATGTGAGCATAAATGAGGCAACTCCTTCAAGCTATTTAAATTTTCACATACCCAGAAGTTCTGGGCGAGGAGGAGGAGTAGCAACAATCTTCCAGTCTGACTTACTGATTACTCCCAAAACAGTTAATACCTACAACTCTTTTGAACATTTAACCCTTAATTTCCCTGATCCAAATTTCAAGGCAAGAAAACCTCTTCTTTTTGTAACTTTGTATCGTCCACCAGGTCCTTACTCTGAATTTTTAGATGAGTTTTCAGAGTTCCTTTCTGATTTGGTATTAAATACTGACAGGGTCATCATAGTGGGAGATTTTAACATCCATGCTGACATTGAAGGCGATAGCTTAAGAGCAGCCTTTAATGCTATCTTAGACACTATTGGCTTTGTTCAAAATGTGAATAGTCCCACACATTCTCATTTTCATACTTTGGATCTTGTGCTGACATACGGCATAGAATGTGAAGAAATAACAGTATTTCCTCACAACCCTGTCCTCTCTGACCACTTTCTAATAACCTTTAGGATTACTTTAACAGAGTTCTCCTCCCCCAAAAGAAGGTTCAATTTTAGTAGATCTTTATCAGATAGTGCAGTTATAAATTTTAAAGAATCTGCTTCACTTTCTCTCTCCTCTGTGTCGCTGAGCAGTGCTGCAGAGTGCAAAAGCATAGCTTATTCCCCTTCACAGGTTGATGATTTTGTTGATGGGGTTGCTAGTTCTCTGCGTATTGCCTTAGACAACGCAGCTCCTTTGAAAATGAAAACCGTTAAAAATAGAAAGCTTGCTCCTTGGTTTAATGCAGAGCTGCGTACTTTGAAGCAAAATGCTAGGAAACTGGAGAGAAAATATCGCTCCACAGGCCTGCGGGAGTCCTTCCTAGTCTGGAAAAATGGTTTAATGCTGTATAAGAGGACCCTTTGTAAAGCAAGAGCAGCATACTTCTCCTCATTAATAGAGAAGATTAAGAATAATCCTAGATTTCTTTTTAATACAGTTGCCAAACTCACCCAGAGCCATAGCTCTGTTGAACCGTCCATTCCACCTGCTCTTAGCAGCAATGATTTTATGGGATTCTTTATAAATAAGATTGATCTTATTAAAAATAAAATCATAAGCACTCCTCTATCCGCGATTGTACCTGAGGTAGTCATGGAATCTGAACCGGGTTTAGACTGCTTTGATCCAGTTGAACTTTCTGAATTAGCAAAATTATTGTCTTCATCTAAGCCTTCAACTTGTATGTTAGATCCAGTTCCAACCAGGTTATTTAAGGAGGTATTCCCTTTGATCTCCTCCTCCATTTTAGATGTGATTAATCTATCTCTGTTACAGGGATATGTACCTAAAGCTTTTAAGGTTGCTGTAATTAAACCTCTGCTTAAGAAACCGTCTCTTGTCCCAGATGACTTGGTCAATTATAGACCTATATCCAATCTTCCTTTCTTATCCAAAATTCTTGAGAAAGTAGTTGCCAAACAAGTTTGCGATCACTTACACCATAATGAACTTTTTGAAGAGTTTCAGTCTGGCTTTAGAGCTCATCATAGCACTGAAACAGCTCTGGTGAAAGTCACTAATGATATTCTCATGGCCTCAGATAATGGACTTGTATCTGTGCTCTTCCTGTTGGATCTTAGTGCTGCATTTGATACAGTTGACCATAATATTCTTTTAGAAAGACTTGAATATTTTGTTGGAATTAAAGGAACAGCACTAGACTGGTTTAAATCTTATCTATCTGATCGAATTCAGTTTGTTCATGTTAATGATAGATCTTCAACACGCTCAAAGGTTACCTGTGGAGTACCACAGGGATCAGTGCTAGGACCAATTCTCTTTACTTTATACATGCTCCCAATTGGTAGAGTTATTAGACAGCATGGGATTAATTTCCACTGTTATGCTGATGATACCCAGCTATATCTGGCTATAAATCCAGATGAAGCTAACCCATTACATAGATTACAGGCATGTCTTGAAGACATAAAAACCTGGATGACTCTTAACTTTCTGCTTCTGAATGCAGATAAAACAGAAGTTATAGTCTTTGGACCAGAGTCTCTGAAAAAGAAACTGATTAGCCAGTCACTTCATTTGGATAGGATTAAACTGATTTCAGATAATAAAGTAAAAAATCTTGGTGTTATTTTTGATCAGGACCTGTCATTTAAATCCCATATCAAAGAGGTTTCTAGAATTTCCTTCTTTCATCTGAGGAACATTGCAAAAATTAGAAATATCCTGTCCAGGGGTGATGCTGAGAAACTAGTCCATATATTTGTTACTTCAAGGCTGGACTATTGTAATTCTTTACTATCAGGTAGTCCACAAACTGTAGTTAAAAGCCTTCAGCTGATCCAAAATGCTGCAGCCAGAGTTCTAATGAAAATTAAAAAGAGAGATCATATCTCGCCTATCCTGGCTTCTCTTCATTGGCTTCCTGTTAAATCAAGAATAGAATTTAAAATCCTCCTTCTCACATATAAAGCCTTAAATGGCCAAGCTCCATCTTATATCAGAGATCTGATTGTTCCTTATGTTCCTAACAGAGCACTTCGCTCTCAATCTGCAGGTTTACTAGTGGTTCCTAGAATTTCTAAAAGTAGAATGGGAGGCAGGTCTTTTAGTTATCAGGCTCCTCTCCTTTGGAACCAACTACCAGTTTTAGTCCGTGAGGCAGACACCCTGTCTACTTTTAAGGCTAGACTTAAAACTTTCCTTTTTGATAACGCTTATAGTTAGAGTGGCTCAGGTTATCCTGAGCTATCTCTATAGTTATGCTGCTATAGGCTTAGACTTTTGGAGGACATAGGGACCCCCATTTCATCATTCTGCTTCATTCTCTCTCTGTTCTCCTAACTGCAGAATCTGTTAGTTCAATCTCTAACCTTCTGCTCTCTCTGCTTTTCCTCAGAGTAGCTTTGCCTCGTCTGTTCCTGTTTGGCTGTGACGTCATCCTGGAAAGAAACATCAGCTGTGCTGCTTCCATCAACACCCTTGTTTATAGATGTTGGAGATCGGCCTGTTTTCCAGTGTGGTCCTGTTTCTCTGACCGTGACTGGCTGGATGTGCTCTCTTCGTCCTCTGGCATGGGAGCTGCCTTGGAGCTTGTCTGCCTGGCTGTGTGTTTCCTGGACGGGGCCGCCTTTTACAGCTGCTTTTTGTATCTCTGCTTCTGTCTCCTTGAACCCCAGTCGGCCTCGGCAGATGGCCGCTCACACTGAGCCTGGTTCTGCTGGAGGTTTCTTCCTGTTAAAAGGGAGTTTTTCCTCTCCACTGTCGCTACAAGCATGCTTAGTGTGAGGGATTGTATTTGAGTCGATGCAATCAACTGGTTTTCCTTAGATAGAAAACTTTGTATCAATTTGACTGTATGATCTGGTTGAACTGTAAAGTGCCTTGAGATGACATGTGTTGTGAATTTGGCGCTATATAAATAAACTGAATTGAATTGAATTGAATTAAGAGATAAAGTAATAAAGGTGATGCACAATCAAAAGATGAAAAAACTGTAAATCCAAATCAGTCTTTGCAAGATGAAGCAGAACTTTACATTTAAATCTCCTCTGTGACAAACAGCAGCCTGATGAAGCTCTAGATTGTGTTTCCATGGCAGTCAGAAAGCGTAACCTCCTGTCAGCGATCACTACAAACCTGGGTCCATAACCCAAGGTAACAGGCTGCCACCATGACTATTCAAACAGATTCACGGCTTTCATCACTCACTGCTGTTTGAATTCAACACATGACTCTAACTTTCCACAGTGTGGATGCAGAATCAGGTCACAGCACCATCCACATCCACACCTGCTCAATAATCTATCAAAACAAAAGCTCACAGGAACCAGCCACGCTCCGACCTAATGGAACTTATACGCAGCAAATGATAGCTAATTTAAAACTGTAATGGGAGTTAAATGACCATTGCAGGGTGTGAAAAAAAAAAACATAACATCTCTGTAATATTTCTGCCGCCAAGAAAAAGCAATGACTTGGAGCAAAATCATAAATGAGTAAAATAAAATGCCGGGCTGTGTGCTTCAGGTACAGAGTGCCATACTTCAGCACATTTAATTAAGAACCAATCAAGAACAAAACAGCAGATAACCAAAGTAAGGTTTATTCTTGCACATTTATCATTGATTACTTTCTTCTTTTATTAGATTATGTAAATGTATGTGCTGGTCCTGATCGATTTGTTTTGCTTTCAAAGGAGGGCTTTCTTCGCTCACAGTGAGAGGGAATTGTACTGCATGTTGATTTCCAGACAGAGGCAGGTAGAGTATTCAACAAGGATACTTTTTTTCAAATTTTTACTATACTAAATCTAAAAGGTAGCATTTAAAGAAATTACTCAAGAAAGAGTATAAAATTATTCTACTCAAGCACTGAATGACTAATCTACTTACAGTATTATATTTTACAAAACGGTGGCAAACTGAACCAAATATTTAAAGGCATTGTGGAGGATTTTCATGAATTTTATAAAACACCCGCACTCTCCATTTAAAAAAATGTATGTGAGAGTGTGGACGAGCCCATTTCTCCTGGTGCACGCTGTTTAAAAGCTGTTGTGTGCATCCCTCATACAAGTTTACTTTCCAAAAGAAGATTTGCATTTTTCCACTATGTCAGACTCACCACCGGTCAGTGAAAATGGGGAGGAGCACGTAGGACGACCTTATGTAAACATATCACAAGAATGATTGACAGTTAGGAGGACCACTAATTTTGATGATCCACCCAGAAAAACAAAATCCTCCACTATACCTTTAAGTGATAGAATAAGTACCGTAATAACATAATTATATATTCATGTGGAATTAAAACTAAACAAAATGCACTTTTTGAGTTAAAATGTTTGATATCAATAGCAAGAGTAAGTAAGAATAGGTTGAATTACAGTTTACTGTATTTTTTACTTAACCTCCAAATGACACGGCGGACTCAGCAGATGCAAAATAACGTTTTACTTTTAAGAATGGGTACAAAAAAGAAAAAACTGTGTCTCTCGATGGTGCATTCTTGTTTACAACAGTAAACAAGAGTAGCCAGATATTTTAGCCAATTTTTTTACTCAAGTAAAAGTAATAAGTACAATGCTTTAAAACTACTCCTTAAAGTTATTTTTTTTAAGTTCCTCAAGTAAATGTAACTAGTTACCACCCACCCTTGGGTCTAGAAACCTATTCCCTTTCACTTTTCAACATTTTGACACTAACACAAACTTTGATGGGTTTAGTGTAATTTCATCTTCAGGCCACGACTCTGTGTTTTACAAAACTAGTTGTTGTTGTTTAAGCTGCAGATTTTCAAGGGATTTCTTTACCACCTCAAACATTCAGGTCATTCTTTCCAAAGCAGCTCAGGTTATGTCATGACAGGATAGAGAGCGTTTTAAATATCACTCTTCTGACAGAATTTAGCTGGAGTTAGTTAGACCTGGACTTTGACTAGGCCATTTTAACACATGCATGTACTGTCAGCTAACCAGGGGGAAAGTGAACACTTTTGCTCTGTCCTCCTGGATTAAAATTCACTGTGGCCACCAAAGCTGCATGGAAATTTGAGATATGATCACATTTTCCTTAAAAGAGATTCAAAAATATTTGCTTGTTCTTTTTAAAGAACTGCAATTTATGTATGTGGTTAGGTCTTGGGTGAAAAACAAAAGTCTAGGGATAAATGCAACGACAAATAAAACATTTCAGATAGAGAATCCTGCTTTTTTTCTTACTTCCTATTGATGGAAATAGGAAAAAAAAAAACACGACTAATATAACTGAGTCTGCATGCTGGTATAATTTTTGCCGCAGTTGAAGCGAGAAGGTCCTTCAATCCCAGCTGGGGCCTTTCAACATGGAGTTTTAATGTTCCCTGGCTTCCTCCCACAGATAAAAATCAGAAATGTTGGTCAAATGTGTGTGTCTGTATGTCTTTGAGTTGCTCTTTTTGTGGACTGGTGTCCTTTTAAGCCGGGCTTACACTGTGCAATTTTTTTGCCCTTTTCAGCCGACTTTCCAGTCGTCCAAACACTTTTCGATCGTCTCGACTTTCAGCCTGATCATGCATCGTGTAGTATACGGGGGTGACGAGGGGCGATTCGCCTCTCACAACCCCCCCGATCAGGAATCGTGACATCAATTGACAGACTGTAGTAGCCAAGTTTGCTCGGCCATGTCTTTGTCCAAATACGTCATCGCCTTTTCTTTACAGGGCTTTCAGCACAGAAAATAGCACAAATTGCCAAGACAGCGTGTTTCACTCTGGTGAGCTTCACATTCTTCTTCTACTCGTTTGGCTTCCAGGATAGACGAGTCTAAGTAGCACCATCTCACTGTGGAGCTGAAACCGATTTGGTTTTTAAACATACAGTGTGAGCAGGTAGATCGCATCAGAGGGTTTTGTCGTACAGTGTGAGCTGTAGCTGTGTGCAACAATTAAAAAAATCGCACAGCTTTAAAGCTGAAGTCTGTAAGTTTTTAAAAATCACTTTTTTGTCATATTGGCTAAAACTGTCCCTATGCCCAGACAGCAGTACATGTGATATGTAACCTGTGAAAAAAACTGCTTCAATTGGTACCGCCTACTGCCTGTATTTCAATCTGGAAAGAATAATTCGGGACGAGTCAAAACAACCAATCACAGCCAGAGGAGCGTCTGATGGAGTGTCAATCACAGCTCACACACGCAGAATCCCCCCACCCCCCTTCTGGTCGCATGCGGTAGCCGCGCAGATGCTGTGAGAGGGGTGGAGCTTGGAGGTAGGGCATGAGTGAAGCAGAGAGGGTGGGGGAGTGGAGTGAAACCTGTTTTTCTTCAAATTTTCAGTCGAAGTCTGCTCTCTCCTCAATGTTACAGACTGCAGCTTTAAAGGTAGAACGGGCTGTTGTTCAACCACCGATATAGATTGATCAGACACTGAATGAGACTGGTAAGCAATGGAAAGATGGAACATCAGTGTTGTCCTGTTGCATAAAACCTTCAAGAAAGACTGAAGATTAACTATTTAAACTAGTCAGTTTTATCATCCTCAAATTCCTAAACTCATTATTGTGGTTCTGGCTGTATGTTAAGGATCACAGGTCTGCTGGAAGATAACCTGTCCTCCTGTGGATCCCTACGGCTGCTCCAGAGTTACCTACCTAACCTATAGTTTTAGATGCTTTGCTGATTAGTTGACTCCTTTTCTGGATGATCAAGTGAAGGTTTGAGATCATAAGATCTTCATAGGCTGAGAAATTGTTTTATAGTCTAACCACGCTTTATCTTTCTCCCTGACCTACATGAAGTGTTTATTGGTCTTTACAATGCTGTTTTTCCACTGAAAACCTCTGATGTGCACTGTATTTGCTATTTAGGCTTCCGATTTATAACTTTGTGTATAGAGTAAATTAGCAGGTTATCGTGAATGATTGTGAAAACTAATCATCCTTTATCTCAGTAATGGAAAGTGGAGAGAATATATAAGAAAAAAAAATGGAATGTTTTGGGGTGTTACTTTGTGCCACATAAAATACATAAAATTTAGAGTTTCAAAGGGACCAAAAGCTTAAAATCTCAAGAGCTATGAATACTTGTGGGAGGCTTCTAAAAGTAAAAGGTAGTTGTGATTGTGCATGCATGATTAGAGTCTAAAATGAGGAGGAACAACTGTGTTCAACCACGCAGGTTATAATGTAAAGCCAGGGGGCGTTTGAACAGCTTCTTTTGTGCTTTTTGTGTCAATAATAACCCAGTTTTGTGATGCACAAAGCATAATGAGAAGAAATGGTGGCAACCACCAAAATAATGTGATGCACATCAAATTACGCACAAAGCCCACATACCTGTCGTATTGTTCTCGATCTGAGTGTGGCACAAGGCTTGCTCCTTCTCTATTTCCAGAATTAGGTCACACATCGGACTCTGTGCTGAATACACCTGGGGACACAACATATCACATCATTTTGCATTTTCTGCTCAGTACTATACAATTTAAGGCAGCAAGATATCTTCAATTGATTTGCAAAACCCTAATTCATAATTTACATAATTAGCTCTATCTACACCCCCATCTCTGTAAATGAAAAACAGCCCTGCAGCATAACGCCGCTAACACCATGTTTCACCATATTTATGGCGTATGGTTTATGGGCCCTCATATATATATATACTATTTTTTTAGTGCACATTGACTTTTGCATTTAGAAATGAAAGTGTACTAAGTGTATTTCAACATTTTCAGATTTTTGCAGAGAAAGATTAATTTTAGTTCATCCTGATAAAATTCAATGAAGTGTGACAAAATTGTAAAAGAATTTAAGGGGTATGATTGCTTTTCGCAAGGCTTTTGTAAGTTTGATGATTAGACGCAATCTCTGAAGTTGACAAATTGTAAAATCTTTTCAAAAGAGAAAGCAATAGTCCAGTTACTTGATAAAAACGCAAGATACTGACTGGTTGCTTTGTTTAATAGCAGGATTACAGGAATTTAAGGAAGTTTTCCACGACATAATTTCCATAGATAAGGAAAACCCCACTGGCTTTTTTTTCTTGACAAGGAGAAATATTTGCATGTGTCTTTTATTACATAAGACCAACACAATTTGACCCAGTTGGTGAGCTGGGCTGGTTTGTGTCCGTAGAGTATAATTATTTTTTCTAAAAAGCAAACCTGTCATTTTTCTGGGTTACTCAATGATACAATGATTGATTGTTTTAGCATCAAATACAGCTGGATCAGTGAAAATATGGGATATTTACAATCATTTCTAAAAAATAAGATTTTCGCTTCAGCTTTGCATGTCATTGTCCACATATTGATATATGAAGAGACGAAATAAGTAACTTTAAGTATTTTTTTTAAACAGAGTAGTGACAGAGTAAAAGCCAGCTGCATACATATGCGTGCCACATTCTTTTTCCAAATTGTGAAGAAAAACATTCAAGGTCTGAATTTTGTTTTTTTGCAGGGCAGCTTGTTGCAAAACAATGTATTTAAGGCTGTTAGGGTAAAAAGAGCTGCATACAAATCAATGCCAGATTTTTCATATTTTTATTTTAAAGATGTAAGGGCTGTACGTACTCAAAGACATGAATGAGCTGATTTCCCTATAGGGCTTCTCTCTATTTTGGGGTTTCAGTGTTCAGGGGGATTTAATTCAAATGCACAAAACAGATTATTATTGTAAAGGTTTCAAAGAGTGTGCATACTTTGCTCCATATAAGTATTTTACATGATCCCAAAGATGTATTACTCCTACCTTGCTGGATGAGTTTTTTTTTTTTTTTTTTTTGTCTTTGTGTTTTATTCAGACTGGTGCATAAGGTGACTCACTGCCTTAGGTGACAGTTACACATTTTCCTTCCTCCTGGGGTAAAGGAGTTTCTTTTCTTGTATTTCCTAGAGATATAATTTGGTAATAGAGCATGCTGAAAGGTGATGGATCAGAGCTCCCTTTTAGTTGTGCAAGTTGTGAGGAGGAAGAGGAGGAGGATCTCACCTTTAAAAATACCCTGCTTTAATTTATTTATATCCAAGGAGATGAAACACTCTTTTTGCGCACAAATCTGTTACTCACAGAGACAAGACCCCCAAATGAATTCCAGCATGATTCATAAAACTTGTAAAACACACAGCTCAGTGGATGGAAGGCATGAAAGATCAGAGGAGAGAGACAAAGAAGGCTGTAACCATGGTGTCCGGCTTGGTGATTTTTCTCTGTCACCATCGCTGGTGATAAAACAAAAACTTAAATACACACCTCCCTAAAGCTTGTTGCCAAAATCCACTGAAAATAGAGCACTTTGTGACAAATTAGAAGTAAAAATAGATGTACTAAGATAAAATATAAAATATTTTATCCTATAAACAGATGATAAAATATGGTAAATTCGTCATTTCTCGGATACACGTGGATCAGTGCGTAAATTCAGATGATCCCGGGAGCAGTTTGGTGCGTCCTGCCTCCAACCACACTTTGGAGAGCATCTCAGACAGCTGATTAGTTAGGATTTACAACTACAACATTTACAAGGTCAGGCTGACATCGCCCAAATTAGCCAGCCAATGGAAGCGCACTTTAAAACAATAAAACCAGCGAAAAGTTGCCATGAGAAAACTCAGGGAGGCAAATACTCACAGGTTCCAGCAACATGCAGGGCAAAAATAGGCAAATACCTCTGGAGAACATAATCCTCTAAATCAACAGGGGGATTAAGGGTTAGGATGTTTAAAAAACTGATGTGAAAAGAGGTCTTCAGAAAGCAGCGATGATCTCAGGCAGGTCTGCTGCGCTGACTCTGTGCGCCCTGCGCTCCGGATGGAGAGAGCAGCTCCGCGCCAGAAGTCCTCCTCCTCCCACACCTCCTTTCCTCCTCCTACTATCCCCCCACCCAGGCTTTACCTTCATCGGTCCTCAGTCAGCCTAGATCATCAATTAATAACGGTGCGCAAAAAATAGAAAAAATAACTAGAAACAAATTTAAAGACAGACGTGTCACGTCTTTTTTAAAAGAAGATACATAGTGTTAAAATACTTAGATTACAATAAAGGCAATAAAGTACTATTTTGGATTTAAGTGGATCCTAGTTTTTTGGGTATCTTTGGGTTTTTTGTACACTGGGTCTTTAATTCAATTCACATCAGTTTTTTTCTAAAGCGCCAATTCACAGCACATGTAATCTCAAGACACTTTACTGTTCACTGGATCATACAGTCAAATTATTTAAAGGTTTTCTATCTAGGCAATCCCTCACACTAAGCATGCTTGTAGCGACAGTGGAGAGGAAAAACTCCCTTTTAACAGGAAGAAACCTCCAGCAGAACCAGGCTCAGTGTGAGTGACCATCTGCTAAGGCCGACTGGGATTCAAGGAGACAGAAGCAGAGATACAAAAAGCAACTGTAAAAGGCGGCCCCATCCAGGAAAAAGAGCATAAATGGAACCCTAGACTGTCATTGCCTAAACACTGCCAGTGATGAACCCCCTTTGGCAAGTGGTAAAAATCAGCCTTTCTAAAAAAAAAAAGAAAAAAGGTTTGTTTTCTTCTCTGCCAGCGTCACCCTCTCTGATGCATACACTAGTTAAGGAGACTGATGTGAGGAAAATATGCGTCATCATAAGCAAAGCAACAGCATGGATATGGGTCTCCATGATTAGAATTTCTACAAAACCAGCTCCTCACTGCAATCACAGCAAGGTAAACTGTGAGCTACAATCTTATTTTTCTAAAAAAAAAAAAAAAAAAAAAAGGGCTGTGCTTTTTGGTAGAGGAACGGCATTGTGTTCTATGCACAGCCTGCTTCTCTGTAACAGTGCAGAAAGATAATATTTTTAAATAAATTAAGGATTTTAACTAAGCCTAAAGTAATGGAGCGATTGCTTATTTGATTGCATGTTGCAGTCCCTTCGAAATAACAGCAAATATAAATCTTTTTTCATACAACTCTTTATTTGGGAAAAAGTGTTAAAATGTAATTTTGGGGGATCTTAATCAATAAATAATTCATTAAATGGCCATAAATTTTTCTGTTTCACACTCTAGTGCCACAAAACTCACAGTACAAAAAAAACTATCTCCTCCTGATCAATTTACAATTACATTGAGAAATACGCACAAATATAATTGTAGGGGATTTTAAAAAAATAAATAAGTAATAAATTGCCCAATAACTACTTTATTACCCACTGTAGTGCCACCAAACTCACAGTACAAATAAACCATCTCCTTTTGACTTTCTGTTAAAGTTTAAAGTCGAGCATCAAAGGAACTTTTCCTCCATCATCGGCTTCATCAAGGAGAAAAGACTCTTATAAAAATCTGCTGTTTGCTGAGTCCTTAAAATCAGAGTTACTCTATATAATTGTTCATTTTTAATTTTCCTTCTTCACAATTTACTCAATAAAAGTTGTTTTTTATTCTAGGTTGTTGCCATTTTTTTTCCCAAATGCACCGAAATGTTGCTGTTGTGATGGAAAGCCAACCTGTCCAAGGTAAGCAATGAGTCACGTCTTTAATTTTTCATTCCTTAGGAGACCCTGAACAAAATGAACTGATAACAGAAAATGTATGGATGACAGTAAAATACTTTGATAGTTTAGCTGGCTTGACTGAAAGGAATTGGGTTTACATTTGTCTTTTTAATCATAGTTGTGTTTAAATTTCAGCCTGCTGTTGACAACTGTATAGTGTCATTTTATATCCAGTGATAGCTTTTTTTATATTTCAAATGTGATCTTTTATTATTATCTCCTTCTGGAAAAAAAAGACTTGACACCTGGTAACTTTGCACCACAAAAATAACAAATAACTAGAAAAGCACTCAGAGAAGGCTAACCACCGCCCATTGGCTCATTTCCCCCAACATATTGTTACTGTCAAGGTCTGTGTAGTTTGGTGGAGGACCCAAATGCAGAGCTAAAGAGGTAGAGAGGATTTAACGACAAAGTAAAAATACAGAATCCATAATCCAGAACCGATCGACAAGAATCTCAGGAAGAAAAAACTAGGAGATGATAGGGAGGAATAATCCTAAGGAATGACTTACAGCAAAGAGTAACTGATCAGGAGGTGTATATATGGGAGACAGAAACAACTGGAGGCCTAATTAGCAATAGGGAGGAGGTGTACTGTAGATAGAAGCAACTAGGAGCTAAGCCTAAGGTAAGCACACCAAGGGGGCAACAAATAGTAACCAGGGGAAACAGCATGATCTAAAGTTAACTAGAAAGAACTCACATGAGGCTAGAGGAGAGAATAGAGCGATGAGTAAAACATGAGGAATGACCAGAGGGGAAAAGTACAAGATAAGATGAGAGACTGGAAATATCCAAAACCAACTATAACTAACTGATACTAGACCAGGGAACAAACAAACCAATAATGTAGGAAAGAGATAACCAGGAACAGAGCAAACTAAGAATACAAAAAAAAGATCAAAATCTACAACATCTACAACAACACAGAAAAAAGCATACTTGAAAATCCAAACATAAAAACTTAAACAGCAACAAAAGGTCCAGAATGCACGATCATAACAGTAACTTCCACCTATTGTTAATACCTTATTTAAATATTCCTGGATGCAGATGGTGATCCTGACCTTTAGAAAAATTTAATGGAAATTCCTTGGACATTTGTGCCTTTCGTAAAAAAAATTATTAAAATCCATTTAAGTTATCCTGGACATAGACATACAGACAATCACAAAAACACATAAACTCTCCTAAAAACATAACCTCCTTGGCAGAGATCATAAAAAACATCTTACTAATCAGATAGAGATGACTCAGAAAAGCTCAGAATTAATAAAGGGATTACTTATTGGAGCTAATTGCTTTGTAAACTGCTGGTCTAAACGCCCATTGGAGACACAAAGAAGCTCATTCAAAAAGGAGAAGCTGACCTGCAAGCTGCAACCTCTCTAAGGGTAATTATGAAGATGCATCAGACTCATCAAGCTGGGGCTACAAGCAGGGAGTAAATCACATTCACAGCAGGAAAACCAAAAGTAAACCTAACTGGGAAGTGTTTGCTCATAATTTCTGCTAAGTGGAGCCATAAATCTTCTCCCACACCCCTAAAAGTCAAAACACAATGAAGAGCATAGTCCTATTACAGGAAATGTCCAAAATAAAAAAAATGTTCTAGAAAGACCCACCTTTTTGTTTATGTGCATCACAAAGGATTATAGTTAATATTTGTTCACATTTTGTTACCTTATAAGCACTAAATGTTAATATATTTTTCTGGGATTTTATGTTTAGATGTTAAAATGAAACATAATGTGTTTTTTATTCTTTCTGAGGCCCCCAAATAACAGAATGCATGACCAATTTCCTTGAGAGGTTACTTTAATGGTCGATAGAGCTAATAGAGTGTAACATAATGTCAGTATAATTCCAGCAATTTGGTGAAAGCTTTAGTACTCTGTTGGAAAACATCAGAAAACAAACAGGATCATAAGGACTAAAAAAGAGAGAAGTTGTTAGGTTAAAAAAAAAAAAAAAAAAAAAAAAAAAAAAAAAAAAAATATATATATATATATATATATATATATATATATATATATATATATATATATATATATATATATATATATATATATATATACTAGCTTTCAACATTCATGTTTATTCCATAATCTGAGAGAACAACCATCCATCTAAAATGATCAAATCTGTTCTCTGTAGAGGTGGGGTAAATAAATATAAATTAAAAGCCATTTTTGAATGTGGAAAAATCCATACAAGGGGGCACATTGATTAAAGTGCAATAATAAGCTCCAAGGGTGTATTAATTTGTTGATGAGGGGGAAAATTAGTCATAGTTGATGGAAGAGGGATGAGGCTAAATAGAGGGCAATCCTGAAAAACAGGCCGTCCAGGGTGGAGGTTCACCTCCTGCAGGACGAAACTAAAACTACAAGATAATCGTTCATGTTAAAGCACATTTGCAATGCCTCAGTCAAAGTCTGCACATAAATCAAAAATAAAAAACAGTTTGAGCTGGTTTGAAAGGTAGAATGATAATTCCAACTGTAGACGTGTAAAGCTCGCCCCATGGACTGAAAGGGAACGTTATTTAAGCTGGAAGTGCTCCTATAAATAGTTGAGAAAAAATGGGAGCAAATACCAATAAGTAACAAAACCTTCAGGGTTTTCAGTCCATTAGGTGTTTATAATTTGATAAATTGTGAAAAGATTCAAGGGGTTGGAATGTTTTTGGATTATTCTGTGTTTATCTTGTGAAGACTCTTTTTTTGGTTTTTTCTGCTGGATGAAAGTCAATATTATTTGTTTCTCTCATCCATTGTCTGATGCAAAAAATTAAAAGAACAAAGAGGAAGCAGACCAATGCAAGCATGACATATTTCAGTTTTCAAATATCTGCTTCTAAGCAGAGAAATTCATTAATTTAGTGGAGAATTTAGGGTTATGACTTTCTGCATTAAGTCTTCTGGGGCTGTTTTGGTTTAGAAATTAGAAGCTTTTTTCATCATTCATCATTTTTTAATCTGCATTTGGCCCCAATATTTTGCCCAGTCTAGTCAGAATTCTTCTGTAAATCCAATGCATTCCTACATATTATATTTCACAGCTGTTTTTCAATCAGATAACTTGCTGGCTTGTCTGCCGCCATAATTTTTTTTCTCTCTGTTTGATGCAGTCTTGCAGCAGTAAACTTGCACATTCCTTATTGAAAAGCCCTCCAACAATGGGCAAGCTGACGTCATTGATTTAAATGCCATTCAGTGAGCTGTCAAGGACAGATGTTACGAAGATAAAGGAACACCTGAATCGCAGAAAGAAGTTATGAAATAACAAAGGAAGCTTTGCACAAGATAAAACTAGTTAATGATAAGAGGTTTCTTTCTTTAGTTCCTCTGGACATTATGAAAATTTGTGAAATCAAAGATATCCATAAAGATATGCTCCTATTTCCATGGACCTGATAACTAAAAACACAACATTCTGTTCCTTTATCAGCCTCAGTGACTTTTTTTTTCTTTAAACAGATGTGAAAACATGGTTGCATACAGATGAGCTAGAAAGATACTCAAAAATTGGGATATTTGTGTAGTCTCTAAACATATTTGAATTAACTGGTCTAATATCAATGCTAACAATGCTAAAAGAAAATCATATATCTAATTAAAACTGGAAAATCCCTTTCAAACCTTTTTTAAATTGAGATGCTTATAATACCATCACCTATTTAAATCTTTCTGTAGCTGCTTATAACTCCTGGAAACGATTTTAAGAGCTTTTCATACACAGAAATACCAGCTGTGAAGCATGAAAGTGAAAGCATGATGTTTTGGGGAAGCTTTGCTCTAGTGTGGCCGAGCAATCATGGCCTCCACTGCTTAGGAGAAAAATCCGAGAGCCATTTCTGAATAATTTTAAGCTCAAGCAGAACTGGACCCCACGACATAACAACGACCAGATCTGAATCTTATCAAGATGCTGCTGTCCTGGTCCTGCTCTTTGTGGACTTCTGTTGAAGTTTCTTTTAAGTTTCAGTATCACTTTGATTTATGTTATTCTGCGTTTTCTTGATCATTGGTTTCTTTTACATTTTGTGTTATATTTAAGCAGTGTTTTATTTTTTAAGTTACTCTGTCGCCCCCTTATGCTGGTGTCCTTTCCCTTTGCTCCTTCTAGTTACTTCTGTGTACACCTGCACCTGCATTGTTTTGGTCTCCAATATATATACCTCTTATTCAGTTACTCCTTGCTAGATCCTCATCATTCTTTTGTTTAATTCCCCCCTAATGTCTCCCAGCTTTTTGGTTCTTGGGTTTTGTGTCTATCAGTTCTGGACTTATGTATTTTTACTTTTTCATTAATAAACTTTGCATGCAGTCATCCCTGCCTCTTCGACTCTGCATTTTGGGTCCTCTAAAAACCTGTCCGGGTCAACTTGAAACTGGCTGAGCATAAAAGACTGATCAGCATTAAGATTAATGTATAAGACGGGAAGAAAAGCATTTCATTTTTTTGTTATTTTGGCCAAACAGGGTAACACAAGCCTTTAGGCAGTAAGGTTTTAGAACTTATTTTCAAATACTAACTTTAAACAACTGTTACTCTTAGTTTATTATGTTTAATTACTAAAGCAGAATCAATTATTGCTGTTTTGTGGGGTTTTTTTGTTTTGTTTTTTCAGAGCTGAACATTTAATGGGCTTCTGATATTTGGGTAAAACAGATGTGCGGTTAGAGCCAGATGATGCATTTGCAAAGATAGACACAGACTTCTGCTCAGCAAACAAAGAGAAGCACAAAACAGGGAGAAGACAGCTACTTCCCTCCTTGATTAACAATGACACTGCACTGGTCACTGCTAGTGTGCCTGAATTAAAAGCAATCAGACGATTAGCAGCTTTAGAGCAAACAGCATCTGATTTCGGGACCTGTCAAGAATCAAAGCCCCAAAGTGTTCTGAAATTATTAAAAATTATCATAGTGATGTGAGACACAGCTAGAGGTTATTAAATCAACATGTTATCTAGTATTTAAAGTCAACCAACGTCATCTGAATGGTGCACACTCTAAAGGTTTCTTTATATTTAAAGTAAAATTGTAAAATTAAAGTTTTAACATCTTTAACTTTTTTATTAAAATAAAACTAAAATAAGATACTGTATGGCCTCACAGTGCTTTTGTAATGCATGTATGGTAAACAGCAGGATTTTAATCATGCAATTGAGGTGAAAACAAATTGGATGGAATCAGCAGGGATTTGCCAAGAAACACGAAGACAGAAGTTAATCAATCAAGCTAAATGTCAAACATTGCAAACTGTGTTGACATTTGGGAGAATGTTGGCAAAACATGCATAGATTCCCTAAATAAATGACTAAAAAGGGTTTAAATAATTGTTAATCAAGATAGATATTGGGTCTCTACTAATAATATATTTATTGAAAATAAAACCTTAAACATATTAGACATTGCTCATAATAGTAAAAAAAAAAAAAAAACATAATGAGGGGTCTGTAATGATCCTACTTCTATGAAGATTTTTTTTTTTAATTAAGGGAGTATTGTTATCATCCCAAGGCTCTATATATTTTTTGAAAATATTAGAGTAAGTGGAAATGTGGAGTTCAGTTCAGCCCACATCAAGGTGATTTCTTTCCTTTTTAACAATGAATCATCTGAACATGCAGGTGAGCAATAATTCTTATTTTTTTTTTTTCTTCTAACACTTCTTTCATTTTGTCCTGAAGCAAACAGTCAAGAGGGCGTATTTTCTGTCATTTAATTAAGCTATGAGTAAAGCTGTTATATCAACTTATATACTTCCGGAACATGCAAAGACAGACATATGGACAGACAGACAGACACCATTATAACTGTTAGTTCTGCTGTTTTTTTTTCTTCTTCCTTTTGTGTTGGTATGCATCTGTGTGGCCTGCTCCTACCTTGAAAGGTAATTGGATCAACCTGTAACTCGATTGGCTGCTGGATACATAAGGGGGCTGTGGTGCCAGTGGAATATTGCTCACTGAGTGGTAGACAGGCCAATTCCGACTCCGACTGCAGTCGGAGTCGGAATTAAAACTCATCTAGTGATGGCGAGAAAAAGCTTCATGGAGCACTGAAGCGTCCCATCCGATTGGTTTGCTCATGTGCTGATGCTTCAAGGTGCTTCATTTGCTCTATTATGTCATCAAGTGGACAATAAATGTAAAACGTGCAGTGGGATTATAATGGCACTATGGTTTTGTTGTCTGAACCATTTAATGAATTCATCAGTGATGTTTGTGGTGCTTATACATTCATGTACACCTACAGTTTCTGTTGAACTCTGGATTAAACTGTGGTTCCCTTCTTTCTAAGCCCCTCACTGTCCAACCCTCAAGAAGCCAAGCTCAACAGAACCGTCTAAGCTACCAGCCAAAGCCTGTCCATCCTCCAACCTGCCAGCAACGTCAGCCCCATATTTCACACATCAGCAAGGTACTACTCAATAAGACCACAGACATCTTTCCCCCTCCTTGATTTCTTCCCAAGCCATCTGAAGTTTTCCTTTATATTTTAATGTAATGGATTTAGTCGTACAGTATAAACTTGATAGCCCTGATTAACCTCAACACTCTCCGATCAATATTGGATACAAGATACTGAATCTAATGGGTATGAAAGGCTTTGAGATTCTGGTCGAATTTACATTGAATATATAACACAGATAGGAACCTTCAATGTTCTGATTTTTTCTGTTTTTTGTTCTCACTCTGCCCAGATAGACCTCTCTGAACACAGGAAGTGTCTGCATCCAAGGCAAAATACTTTTTCTGCAGTTCTGTATATATGATTGTTCAGTCTTCTAAACACAGTTGTTCCCTCAGAGGTCCTGGTCACTCTGGAGACAGTCTCTGCTGGTGCTGCTGCATTCAGGGGCGCCGTATGGGGGGAAAGGTTAGGCAGATTCTAAGGGCCCTTGACTGAGGGGAGCCCCAAAAGAAAAAAAAAGATTAGCACTGGTATATTTTTAAAATATAGAAAGAAAATCCAGCAGTAAAATAAATAATCTTCATGTTCTCCATCATTTTTAGCTGTAAAGAGTGAAACAAAGCATGAATATATTGAATCTAGAATACCTTTTTATACTGTTAAGATATATATTATACCATAAATACATTATATTATATGTGATATTATAAAATTCTATACCATTAAAAGACATCTATAAATCTTGATAATTGTCATGAGCAGCCTGTAGCAGCCGCACCAGTTATACATGTTTTGTCATCAAACAATTCTCAGTTCTCAGGGCTAGCATAAAAAATAACCTGTCCTTTAATAAAGTTATAGTGAAACCTAATAGGTAAATTTAACTTTTTCAAGTTGTAATATTTTTTTTCGTAGAAATTTTAAAATAAATGTTAAATTGAAATTAGTGCATTTTATAGCAGTTTTAAATCTTGCATACATTTTTATTTGGAGAGGGAGGTGCAATATCAATGTGTTTCATGGGCCACCAAATTCCTGGTGGCGCCCCTGGCTGCAGGACAACTGACTCTGTTGTTAAAATATTGTAGATGCAGCTGCTGTAGGTTTAGGGTCAAGCTTATTTTTTGATTATTTTATCTTTTCTTTTCATTTTTATTTCTCATGCTCTGCATGTATTTTTATTTAGCACCTACCTTTTTTACTATGTAGCACTTTGGGATTTGTTTAAATATAAAGTGCATTACAAGTCCTAAATATAATTATTCACTTTATTTAATTTATAAATCAAAGTTTTTACAATTCACATCAATCATCACTAAACTAAGAAGGGTTTTTCTTCGTAAAAACAATGCCAATACTATCTATATACATCAGTGGGATTCAGTTTTTTAGCCTAATTTATTTACTCAACACACACTTCAAAGCTCTGCTTAAGCGTCAGCCGAGTACATTTTAAGATATTTTTTTACACACTCATATCCTGCTAATTATCTTTTTATTTTGTGTTTTAATCTGAATTTAGCTAAAGAAAAACTTCCAAAACAAACCTTCATAGAGAGGAGAAACTTAATTGACGAATTTTTGCTGCCACCTGCTGGTGAAATGTAAAGCTTTACGTCTATTGGCTATTGGTTACGTGACGTAACCAACCAAACACGGAAATGAACCTGACCGCCTTTGTTTCGTTTTCTGTTTAAAGCAGGTATATGTGACTTCTTTATTCTTTGTTATTAGATAAGGGTTTTTCTTTATTTCTTTTTTGTTGTATGTTATGTTATATTATTTAATACAACAATTTGAAACCAGACTTTTAACACAGGCAGTTCTGTCTGTCCTTTATTTTGCAGTTTGTTGTAAACTGTTCTGTTTTTCAGCTTTCAGCTATGGGTGATTTCTCTGTAAACCCTCTGGTTTGGCTCGGTGTGGGCTCCAGTTTTGCCTGCTCCGGTGTATTTTATCATCTATATCAGGAAAAAAAGAAGGAGTTGAAAAAGCTCAAGGCAAGTTAAGCAATGTTATGAATCTCAAACACATCAGTTATTTGCTTTATGTTGATTAATGCTGTTTTTTCCATTTGTCTCAGGAAATCCCAGTTTTCCAACCTGATGATTATTTAATCAAAGTGCTGAAAGCTTCCCCGTACAAGCGACTTCAGTATGTTGCTGTTGAAGGTAGAAGCTTTACTATATGATGTCTGTTTTCTTATTTAAAGTTAGATGGAAGGCTTTCAGCTGTCTTTCTGTCTGTGTGAAGGTGTTGTTCAGGCTGACGGGGAGCCCCTGCCAAGCAAGTTTGTCTCTCGATGTCATGGTGTGATCCAGAAGGTTGTTGAGGAGGAGCACTGGAAATACTGGAACTATGTCACCAGGACTTGGTAATTCCAATTAGCGATAAACTAATACACCGATCGGCCCATATTTCTGCCCGATATTCTTCTTGTATTGGTAGACATATGCATACATTAGACAAATTATTAGTGGAGTGGCTCCCAAACAGTGGAACAGGGTAATTGAAGGAGAGGTGGTAAATTTGATTGTTTATTTTTATTAATTTCTTTATTGATAAATTTGTTAAAGTCATTTGCACATGAGAATAAACAGCTAAACTTAAAATAATTGTACTTTAAAGGTGGTAGTTTTAGCCATTTAAAGTAGATTGTAGTTTATTTTTATGCAACATTTCATTTGACTTTCTTTGTTTGAATGATGGGGCAGGGAAAAGGGTTGGTGGGGGTCCAGCACAAAAATTTGGGGGGCATTTACCAGCAAATCAAATACATTGCTGCTCCCTCTATTTGCACTGAAAAAAAAAATACTGTCGTTTTTGGCATTTACTTAATCATATTTAGTTACTTTAACACAATTGTTTCTATTAGCAGGGTAGGACATAAAACAATTGTGTTAAAGTAACTAAATATGATCAAGTAAATGCCAGAAATTCAGTTTATTTCTATAGTGCCAATTCACAACACATGATTGTCAAGGCTGGTGTTTTATTGAATACATCATGCAGATATTTGGGGAAGAAAAAACAGGAAATTTTGTGTGTGGAGCATTTACTTTAAATTTGAATCTGTGGATTTAGACAGAGATACAAGTATGATCTGTTTTCAACTATTTTGTTATTTTAATATGTGCTAAAAATCTCATTTTCCTTTCACTTTAGTTATTCACTACTTGCGTGCATCCATCACACTGAATATGCAATAGAGGTTTCTAGTTAATCTACTTCTGAAAATATCAAGTCTTTTAATGCATCTCTTGTTTCAGGAACTCCCGGACAATCAACAAGAAAGAGACCAAAAACTCCGTCCCATTCAGTTTAGTTCGGCCTGGTTCTTACATCTCTGAAGTTTATGTGAAGGTGCAGAGCCCCCTGGAGGCCTCCGGGTGCTACATGGAGAGGGTTCACTCCAAAGTGCGACGTGCTCAGGAGGGTCTGGTGGACGTGGTGGTGCAGGGTCTGAGTGGTGAAAAACCGGTGGCGATGGTGGAGAGCGAAGAGATGCTGCGCGTGGGGAGCAACCTGACCGGGTTTGGAGAGGTGGTGCTGGAGGGGGGCCAGGCGGTCAGGCTACAGGCCCCGCAGGACGGACGTGGGTACATCTTGGTGCCCAGTGACTACAGGAGCTTCATGGACAGACATGAGGCTTCAGCCAACATGTGGCAGGCGTTGACGGCTGTGACCGGCCTCACAGGGGCCACACTGCTAGCTGGCATTGTGTATAAATTCTTTGGAAAACAGAGCGACAGATCAAGATAGGCTGAACACTGTGGGTTAGAAGCGATGCCTTTATGGGTTTGATCCCCTGCATCCAGTTACTACTTTGTCATCAAGCGTACTTGAGACTGTAAACATGAAGAACTGGGGAAACCTATTAAAAAACCAAAATGACAAAACAATGAACACATTTCCTACTAATCCTCCTTTCCTGAAGGTTCTTCTTTTTAGAGATCTTCGCTAATGTGTCAGTTAAAAGCTTTGGACCTGCTTCATAACCCAATCTCTGATTCCTCAACGTAAAGAATGCTTCTTAACTCACCAGGTGATCTAATGTTAATAAATTAATGACATTTTTTTTTTTTTTCCCTTCTGATCAGTTTTGGGGACATTCCTTCTGCAGATTTTACTGTTTAAGTGTAAACTTATCATTACAGTATTTCTATAGAAACCTTATTCTATCAGTGGAACATGTTTCCAGTCATGTTGCTGAGACTGGATAGATGTGATAACATGAAATAATGAATCTACCTCCAGGGTTGTTTCTTCTGAAGTTTCTCCTTATTGCATCCCAGACATATAATGTGAATCTTTTGCGGTTTTATTTTTCTTTTTAATAAAAAGAAAAACCTGGAAGGTCTATTCAGCCCCCTTTACTCTGATGCCACTATATAAACAAACTGCTCTCAGTCCACCTTTGTGTTTGGTATCCATCTCTGTTTTATGATGGATTTAAGGATTTATTAAACGAGTAATATAAGGACTAATGAACATAGAACAGGGAAAATGAGAATAATCTGAATATTTCTCTCTATAATAAAACAATGCAAACATTAAAATGATAAAAAAATCTATAATTGTGAAGACCAGGTACTAAAGATTTGCACCGAAATGAGGTTCCACGTTAATGTTAACTCACTAAAATGCATGCTGCCTTTTTACAGATTTTTACTTGTTGAAACCATTCATCATGATGGCCTGGCGGGTGAGTTAGATCGCAGTTTGTGGTGTTTGAAGTCAAATGGCCACTTTTATTTAAAGGTTATTTCACTACAGCAAGTGTGTTCATGCAAAGGACGAAAGCTGAGACCTGTCTGGGCAGGATGATAGTCTGTTCTTTATTTTAGAAACATTCAGAGCAAAAAATGGATGTTTGCTTTAAATGCACTGAGCCACTTCTGCTGGTTAGTAAGCCTGCTGCATGGAGAAGAGGGCAAAAACCTTATTTCCCTTCAGTCACACAGCAGCTTATGCTAAAGAGTTAATAAATTAAACTGTAAGGAAGTGATTGTTGTTATTCTTCATCTTCTGAAGATTCTTCAGCCTCCTCCAACCATTGGATGAATTTCTGAAGCTGCAAAATGAAATCAGAAAAATTATAAATGAATGCTAAAAAGTCAATTTGCATAATAAAACAATCAAAATACTGCCATTATTAAATGACGTGTAAATGTTTTTCTATCAGCCGCACTAAACATCACATCATCCACAAATGAATGGTAGGATTTATGGTTTGATTTACTACAGACTATTAGGTAAAACTCGGGCTGTAAGGCAAACAAAAGTGCTTCAGATGATGTCCTCAAACATTATTTAAACTGAAATCAATTAACGTATTAATGAAAAGCATCTGAAACAGAGATTATGTTTAAAAGCTACAGATTTGAACCTGAATTTAACTCTTTATAGGGCACTCAGTAAGCCAATAGTGTTATCAGAATCCAGGACAAGACTGTATTACCTTTACCTACCTTACATTTAAAAAATATGGATATTTTGATGGCAAAAATGTCAATGTAATAACAAGAAACACCAACTGCCCGAATATATTAAGAAAAATAACAAAAGTGCTTCTATAAGCAATTAATGAAAAACACAGAGTAAAAGAAACACTTTTTTTTTTGGTACAACATGCATTAATGCTGATCCTGATACTTACATTTTTTAGTTTATAAATTCAAAAGTAATTGTTAACTAGCCTTATTAACTTTTTAACTTTTCAATTAGCTTTTTACCTTTTTATCTTGACTTGTTAACTAAACTTAATTTACAGTAGTTAATATATCATTCAAGGGCTCATCTAATTGGTCAAACACCAAAATAAGATGTACAGCCATGTAGCAGCATCTTTGCTGAATGGCTGGATATAGATCTTGTGCTTCTAGACCTCGCTGAGGGAAGGGGGACTCCATTTGTAAGGGGTATGCAAGTGATCAAAAATGGTAACTTGTCCTATAAAAGGGTTATCCCATCCCTTTGGGGAGCAGTGGGTGGCCACCGTGCAGCATCCGGGGAGCAGTGTGGGGTTAAAGGTCTTCCTCAGATACCCATAATGCTGGCTGCAGGGATTGAACCGGGTCCTTGCAACTGGACACAAGCACTCTGCTTTAACCACCATGCCAACACTATTAAAGCTTAGCCATTTTCAGAAACTTTTAAGTACACTTTGAATGATAGTGCTCTATGACAACAGATGATAGCGACTGTAGTGTAAAAACTTAATCTGTTTTTTTTTTTTTTAAACCAGCCTATTCCTGACTTTGGTAACTCACCCCCGGATTCTTGCGCAGCTGTCTGCTTTGATCCGTCGTGGCTCCCTGAGAGAACCAGCGCAGTATCATCTCCTCCTCCAAGATCTCCAGCTCGTACATGTTCATAAGGACCTAGGGTAGAAACAGGATACAGGAACACATACAGAATAAATGGCATTAAAATTGCTCTCCTAAATGTTCATCACTGCTGTTTGATCCTTACCTTCCCTATAGCAGCCCAGTGACTCTCCTGCTCTAGAAAATGCTCCTCAAAGGCAGCTAGACAGTCCAGGTGGTCCTGTGCTCTCTTCACATAGTTCTTAAAGACTGGTGCCCATTGCTTCAACAGCTAAACAAGAAGAAGAAGAGATAAAACCATTTGCTTAGTGCAGATAAAAGGATCTGATGTGACATTTCTAAAAATTAAAAATGACTTTATTAATGCCAAATGGAAATTGAACTAAAATATTTACCGGCAGAAGCAGGGCTACGTATTGTGCAGGGGTGAGGTTTGGTCCCTGCTGCTGGAAGGGGTACTCCAGCACCACGTTAGTTAGAATCTGCATCACCTCCTTTAGACTGATGTTGTAGGCGTACCTGGAAAAAGACAGTGAGCTTGAACAGTGATCAGGCCTGAAGGGAACAGCAGAGGAAGGCTCAGAGGTTAAGAGCTCACTTTAGTGAGTTGATCTCCAGCACCAGGTTATCACAGCCAATGTTCTCCTCTAAACCTCTCTGCAGAGTCCCGAGCACCTCCATCTGGAAAACTATAAAGAAAAGTACAACGCTGAATGGCTGCAGATTTCCAAAAAATTACACCGAGGAAGGAAGGAAGGAAGGAAGGAAGGAAGGAAGGAAGGAAGGAAGGAAGGAAGGAAGGAAGGAAGGAAGGAAGGAAGGAAGGAAGGAAGGAAGGAAGGAAGGAAGGAAGGAAGGAAGGAAGGAAGGAAGGAAGGAAGGAAGATTTGATAAAAAAAAAACATGTTGATAAACTGTTGTTATGGCTGTTAATTTTCTGTTTGGACAGTAGGGGGCAGTCATGCGGCTGTCTGTACAGCTGAGCTCTCACCTTTAACATCATCCATCTCAGGGGAGGGGATCATGAGGTCATCGGGGCCGTCTGGTTCGCCGTCTTCGCTGTCGCTCTCAGGATCCGGGTTCAACACCAAACCTAGTCGACATCAACCCAAACATCACCAAATAAACCACAACATCCACCCGCTTCAAGGATGACGTGATGAGAGCGGCTCACCTACCCCAGAGACACTGAGACAGCTCCTCTTCCTCCGTCTCATCCAGACTGCTGGCCTTCCAGATGTAACCTTTCCCTTGGCTTCCAACCTCTGCCGGGTTAAAAACTGCAAAACGCATGATGACAGTTTGTACTGCAAACTGTAAACGCTTTTAGAAAGCATGGATATTCCAGGGAGATGATGCACACCTTTCTGTTTGGTTTTGTCTTTACTCTGCCCAACCTCAGCATCATCACTGAGGAACTCATCAGCATCCTCCTCTTCTTCCTCATCCGGATGGTGCATGGAAACAACAGTTCCTTCTGGCAAAGACACGTCTGGTCCAATCACCACCTGGAAATCGCAAATGTTTTCATTTAGAAGCTCTGATCAAAGCTTTAAAGCCATTACCACATTTGACCAGCGCTGCGTAAATAAAGTTTTCTTAATAGGTCAGAATTACAGGTGAAGAACTCAAAAAAAGTACAGAAAACGTGAATTATTTACTTTTGGCTAGGTCTCTCTTTACAGTAAGGCTAGGATCAAATGTTTCCTGTATATGCAGAGAAACACATTCAAAAGCAGAAGTTTGGGGTTTTAATAAATTAAATATTCTGATTGCCTAAAAATTTGGATAAAAAAATAAATAAATACATAAAACTTTTCTAGTTATTTGAACTGGTCCAACAAAATCAAGAGCGAAAACAAATCAGTCTTCTTCAAACTTATTCAAGGAACCACTTGTGATAAACTAGAGCCAACACAAAGCTGCCATCTATTGTGTGTTTACCTGAAGACAGGCTCACCAGAAAATATTTGTCTAGCAACATTTCAAATTAATAAATAGTTTAATAATAATTCCAAAACGTACAATGAGACTTTATAACAGACATATAAAGACTAGGGATGTCCTGATACAATTGTTTTTATCTCCAATATGATTGCAATATTGCAACTGAACCCTTTATTTTTACCAAAGTGTTACATAAGAAGCCTTAAAAAGGGCTGATAGAAAAGCAACGTTTGTTTAATGAGTTATTAAAGTTATTCAAGGCCAATACAGAATATTCCAAAATCAGTCTAATGAATCACTGATATGTGCTTCCGAGTTTTTGGGAGGGACGATTCTTTAGGCCCATGTTGCCTACTCATTCCCTATTTACATGATAAAAATTATACATTTTTGTTAGGTCTCAACTTGAACACAAAGAAAAATGTATAAATAAAGAAAATCTTAACACTGAATAGCAATTAAAGTTGGCGGCACTGTGCGAAGCTTCTGGATCTCCAGGCATGGCTGCTGAATGCACTAATGAATCAGCAATCGAATGCAAATATCAGCCGACACGATACAGGGAAATAGCGCTATAGACCAAAAACATTAGCCATGAATTAGTCTATGTCTAATTTAAATTTGCTGATGACATCATTTCAGTTCTCATGTTATTGTCCATTATAAAAAGAACAGAGACTGTTTATGTTTGAAAGGATTTGGTGTAAAAAATCTTGATTTGTCTTGCTTTTCTGAAAGTTATATTTGACTTTCTGGAGAAAGAGATATTTCCATTGCTAGAAATTATGCAGGGAGCATAGATGGTTAGATAAATGGCGCTTTATTCTATCATATTGTTGATGCATGGCTACTTCTCAAATGTGAATAATGTCATAAAGCCTGTATGGGCCGGGTACCTAAATAGAAACGTTATTCTGCTTACATCATATGACAGGACACACTGCTTATTAAGGGTCACCCTCTCCTTGACCTCGGCCTTGTCGCAAACCACAGACTGTCTGATCACCACATTACTGGCGATGTGAACATTATTCCAGATGTAGGCGTGGTCCAGCGTTACATTGTCACCTGAATAAGAGAAAATAAATAATGTTCTGAAACCTGTACAAACCCTCCCTCATATCATTTAAAAGTTATAGTTTTAAGCTCACCTATGATGCAGTTGTCACCAATGACGCTGTTAGAGATGAAGCAGTTGGCACCTATGCTGGTGTCGCAGCCAATGAGAACATTTTGTTCCATCTGGCTGCCGTGGCCCAGGCTGACCCCTGATCCCCGGTAGACATTGTGGCGAGAGTAAGTACAGCTGCGTCCCTCCTGGTCCGTGAAGTTGGACTCAGGTGTTAGGGGGTAGAACCAGCGACGCACAAAGTCTGACGACACGGAATCGTACATGAGCAAGTTGGACACGCGGACACCGTAGCCGTCCTTGGTGACGTGCATGTGGATCTGATTGCCGAGAATCTAGTCAAAGACGAAAGGTTGGAACCACGGTATGACACAAAGCATATGTGGAATAACACATTTTCAAAGTCCTGCTCAGCACCTCCTCGTTGACCAGTATCCCTCGGACAAAATCATCCCTGGTTTGATAATCAAAGTTATCCGTAAAGAGCTCGGCGACCTGGAAGAGACCAAGAAACATTTCACTGCAGCAGATCACAAAGAGCTGAATAAATGTTTACCTGAATTCAAACTGACCTGTGGAGAGCAGATGCTGATGTGAGAGTCCAGGAGGTCATGCCTGATTTCAAACTCATCACTCCCACTGTGGAAAATATTCTGCAAAATATCAGCTGGTGTTAGTTTGTCCAAATCTATGGCACCCTGCAGAAATGTTGGTTGCCCTTAACATTTCGCTATTTTGTCATAATAGAACCACAACTTATTTCCATCAGCAACTCTCTGATGAAAAAAATGTTATATGCCAGCTTAGTCATAATTAGGAGATAGCTTAGTCATAATAATTAGATACTGTCTGATACTTATGAGAAATAAGTTTGCTTTGTTTGTTAAAGTGGAGGAAACAACAGGATTCCGTAGCCCTGGTAATATGAGGTCAACATTAAAACAACAAACTTTGTCAACATCAGCTATTTAGTCTGATTGAGCTTTGCCGTACAAAGTATAATGAGCGTTCATTTCAGACGTTCAAAAATGCTAAAGACATAACTTAATATATATGCAGCTATACAAACAATGACAGAGTGTCGAGCAAATAGTGATTTTTTTTTTGGTGATTCAAATACAAACAAAGGCTAAAACTTCCAGATATTTTACATTTAATCCCTTTTTTTGTTCTTCATATTTGAGTGATACGTTTTTCTTTGATTTGTGTGGTATGAGGCTTTTAGGTGACAAAATATCAAACTGTTCAAACAGCATAAAAGTTTCTCGATTTTCATCTCTATCAAATAAAAATAATTTACCATTGGAAAATGTAGCTTCTTCAGCCCTTGTGTCTTCTGATAGTGTAAGATCTGCTGACTCTTGCTGTCCGTTGCCACGACAACATCATCCTCTTCACAGCGGGACCTGTGACCTGGTGAGGACTCCTTAAAGATCATAGTCATGACTGAGATGTTTTTCTCCGTCTTTCGCCGGTGCCTGAGGTGAAAAATCAATACCATAATTAGAGAACATCTAAAATTAAAATTTCTCCATGATGAATCGCTTCCTTGTATCATCAGGTGAGCGCTGATGAAGACCTCATACCTGTGCTCCTGCAGGGCCTGACTGATGTCAATGTTGGACACCACATCTCCACAAACCAACACAAAGTCAGAGCGCACCAGAGACTTAGCATCAACATCCCTGAGCACATCTCCAAGAGATCTGTACAGCTCTGAGGTGATGATGTGAACTGTGTTTGGAGAGGAGGGTCTGCACCACTTTGACTTCCTGTCAGACAGAGACAGCTTCATCTCTTTAGCCTGTTCATTTGCACACGTCACACAACACAACACAGAAACAACACTCACAACAAGTGGTCTTTGATTTTACTGGCCATCCAGCAGCAGAAGACGAATGTTTCCTGGACACCAGTGGAGGTGAGGAACTCCAAGGTGTAGTCTATCATAGCAGCGTTACAGAGGGGCAGCAAAGCCTGGAATCAGAATAAATTACAGTAAGAAGTTAGAACAGATGAGTTTTGTAAAGAAAACTACTTTTACTTGGTGAAATATCAGAAAAAGCCGAATAAAGTAAAAGTGTGTGTTGTAAACACGAGGCAGAGAGTTGCATCTCTGCTCCCAGCATGGACATCCTCCAGTTAGCCTCGGTTAGCATGGTTAGCTAACTTACCCGCGGCTGGTCTTTGGTCACCGGGAAAAACCTCCGGTTAAAGCTGTCAGCAACTAAAACGGCCTGCAGCGGCTGCTGCTCCTCCTCCTGCTCCCCGGCTCCTTTCCTCCCAGATAACCCAGAACTTGAGCGGCTCTGTTTCCCCCCTTTACTTGCCATGTTTAACTCCTAGGAAAACAGCTATGTCATCAGAAACAACTACGGTGGCGGAGAAGGGACACTTCTGCATTTGTTGCCGCAGGTGTAACCACGAAATAATACAGTAATCAGTCAAGTAGTGTTTAGATTTACAGAAGAGGAGTAGGGCTAATAAAAAAAAAAAGATTTTAGATATTATTTTAGTATAGGCTAATATGAGAAGTCAAAATTCTGAGTTTAATCTCAGAATTCTGAATTTAATCTCAGAATTCTGAGATTAAATTAGAATTCTAACTTTAATTTAAGAATTCAGACTTAATTTTAGAATTCTTACTTTAATCTCAGAATTCTGAGATTAAGGTAGAATTCTGACTTTAATTTAAGAATTCTGACTTAATCTTAGAATTCAGACTTTAATGTCACAATTCAGAATTCTGACTTAATCTCAGAATTCTGACTTTAATCTCAGAATTCTGAGATTAAGTTAGAATTCTGACTTTAATTAAAAAATTCGGTCTTAATCTTAGAATTCTAAATTTAATCTAAGAATTCAGAATTCTGACTTAATCTCAGAATTCTGACTTTAATTTAAAAATTCTGACTTTAATCTCAGAATTCTGAGATTAAGTTAGAATTTTGACTTTAATTTAAGAATTCGGACTTAATCTTAGAATTCTGACTTTAATCTTATAATTGTGAGATTAAGTTAGAATTCTGACTTTAATTTAAGAATTCTGACTTAATCTTAGAAATTTGGATCTTAATGTAGATGGGCACCATGAAGGAAGAGATGTGAGAGCACACAGCTTCACTGACAAAGATGTGAGTTGTTTGGGAGGGCCAGTAACACATTGGTGGAAAATGATGGAATTAGGCAACTTTTTATGTACCCAAGGGGTCCCTGGTGATGCTATTTCATTAATAGAGGAGCAGAAGGTCATTAAAACAATAGAGCTGGTCTCTAAAACAGACATGGCTACGGCTTGATGATAACATGTTTGTTAGCTGTCTGAATTCAGTCAGAATTCTGATCCCCCCCCCCCCCCCCCCCCCCCCCATATTAAACTGAAATAATTTTTAAAAATCAGTTAACTTTTATTATTTTTTCAGTGGCCCTAATCCTCTTCCGCAGAAATTAGTTTTAAACAAATTAACACTAGTAGGAAGAGATTGAATTAACTGTAAAAATACAAGTCTGCATTCAGGACATATAGGTGCATCTTAATGAATAAGTTGAGCAATAAAAAATGCCTATAGAATACATTCCGTGTACAAAGAGGGAAACATTTCAAGCATTTAATCGTTTTATTTTTCGTTATTTGTTCTAACAAATATGCAGCACAAAGTCACTACTGTATTCTGGTGGGGGATTAACCAAATATTCTTGAAATGAAGATAAACTGTTCTTAATATGCAGGATCAAACTATGTTAATGAAGTTCAATAAAAGGAAAATGTGTGAAGAATAAACAACTGCCTTCTTTTGACACTTATCAGAAACTTAGAATATGCTGATTGTAACAGGCTTTACATCACAAACTGGACAAGGTCTATAGCAGTCCTGGCATTCAACCTTCGATGCTTCATAGGTCAGAAATATCTTATGTAGAACTATTTAATTAGATAGAAATTGGAGTTGACCGATGCTCGGTCTGGATTTCTTTTTCCTTTTAAGTTAAACTAAACTTTGCATAATGTTAATTGCGGTCCTGGAGTTTGGAGAAGGAATGGAGAAGCAAAGCATCCAAGCCGGGTGTCCAAAGTTTCAATCAGTCAGTGATGAATGCTCATCTCCTCGTGTTGGTTCACTGTGTTTTCAGAGGTAAATAGACAATGCAGCATCTGTCAGATTTTGATAATAAACACTATAATTATTCCACTGCTCCTCATTCTCCTTAATGGATGATATATTTATTTATGCTTTAGACTGTCATTTTCCATGACTTTTTTATGTGTCTTTAATAATGTAATCATTATCCAGTCTATATATATATTTTTTGCATTATCCATTCGTTAAAATTTTATTTAAAGAACCCCATAAATAATGCATCATACTGAATTTAAATAGAAAGTTTATGTTAGAATAACAGGCTGCTTTATAGCATCTAGCTTTATGCAAATTGCTTTAATGGTTAAGTCAAACAAATGCATCTTTAATTAATCAAAATGTTTTACCGACCTTAATTACCTAATTACTATTTTTGTTTTATATCTTATAGAGCTATAAAAAAAAAAGTTTACCTTGCAGTCTTTTGGGTACAAGAAAATTAAACCCTAGAGTTTCTCATTTGTCAATAGAAGGCAAAGAGAAAGAGAGATTTGAGATTTTAAAAGCATGGTTGACTTTATTAGCAAAGAACCTGGTTATCAAATGTTTATTTTGAAACTCCCTTAAAAGAGGACTGAAACCCACTTCAACAATTAAGACCATCAAAGGGCTTTCTATCGATCAAGGTAGGTGTACATATGTTCATACTGTATAAGTGCAGAGTATACATTTTTCCTGTTGATCCAGTTAGACTAATAATGTTTTTGAAGGTAAAAATATCAAAATTACACATTTGATAAAAACAGGAAGCTGATGGATGTTAATTGATTGGCCCCTTCAAGTGTTTTATTTGTTTAGTAAAGAAAGATGGCTTTATTTGATCAATGTGGCTCCATGTGCCTAAATCAAGGCTTAATGAAACAGAATTTTAGTCTACATTAAAGTTGGCCTTGGTGAAAATACATGCTGCTTCTGATCGAGACTTCAATTCATTTTCAAATTACTTATGAAAAAAAACAAAAAAAACAAAAAGAGAACCTATATTTCCAGAACATCTGAACCAACCTGTTAAACTCTACCAGAGACAGAACCTTCAGGCTCCTGCCGCACCTAAGTTTAGACAGAAGCCTTCACTAACAGCTCTGCCAGAGCCAAACAGTTTATCATGATGCTCTCGGCCACCTCAGACTGTGAACTACAGCATTACAGGTGTTTGGTAATATTCTTGGCGTACGCCACCACAGAGTTGCATCGTGAGGTTTTGCTCATCCAAGATACCGGGATTCCTTCAAGCCCGATCTGGAAAAAAAAAAAAAAGAATTAAATAAATAAAAAACATGATCAGACATAAATGTGAGTGTGAGAAAAAGCATGTTAAATTAAGTGATAGTCCCACCTGGGCTCCAATGCATGCTCCAATAAAGGAGGCTCTGCTGCAGGTGCACCCCCCACAGCTCATGGTGTCTCTGATGGCTGTCTCAAACTGTTTGGCTGTCAGAACTCCATGCAAAGCTGCCTGGAATGCACCTGGCAAACCTGGAACAAGCAACACACCCTATTAACCATCGGATCATATTCAGGTTGGATGATAATCAAGTTTAGCTTTTGCTTTAGTGGAACTTGGTTAAATATACCTCAGGTGTTGGGGAAAACAGTGGGGATCAGCTCCTGTGGAGACTTTGATAGAGTCTCCTTCACTTGATGAATGTGACCTGAAAGCAGCAGATTGGGAGGAATTTTAAAAAAGAGCTTGTTTTTCGATTATTACTAATCAATAAGAGTGTTAAAAAAAAAGCTTTTTATCTTTAAATTAGGAGGTCTAACATTGATACAGATACTTCATAATCTCTACTTAGTATAAGGAAGCATCTTGGCTTTGACCCCATGATTCAGTCTCATGACTTGAGGAAGGAAGCAACAATGCCGCAGATCTGGCTTACTGATCACTGCTTTGTCCAAGTCCTGGGGCTGCTTTCTGTTGGGGTCATTGAGCTGATTTAGCACCACATCTAAAGCTTTAGGATCCGGACCAGTCAGGATGAAATGCTCCAGAATCCTAAGACAAAAATGTGGTTTGTTATCTTAGCAAAAGATTTCATGATGCTCAGACATTTTCATATGGTCATATTAGTATAAACTAACAGAGGATTTTAGGGGGAGTAGACTCAGGCATAACAAAAATAATAGTCAGATTAGATTTTTTAATATTATTTTACATCAAGCAAATGAATAGAAATGTTGTGTGCATGTGTATTTATCCCCCTGAAGGAGTCTACAATGAAGAACTACCTTTTGCACGCATTTCTATATTTTATATCCATATTTTTTATCTTAAGTGTATATATTAGTCTATTTTATTGCATGCCTTATACCCACAGTGTTTTAGATATTTTTATTATTTTATTTACCTATTCCATATTATATGTTTCATGTTGCACGATTGTACCATAAAAAAAATCCTAGTTTGTGAACTCCTTCACTAACAATGGCAATAAACCTGATTCTGATTCTGATTACAACAGCAGGTCTAATGGGATCCATCTCTACCAGCGTTGCACTTCTAGACCAGACTTTTTAACTAATTTTCATTACAAGATAGCTCAAGTTCAGTCAACCTGGATGGAATACAACAGATAAAAGTAGGTCTGGATGTTGACTGGACCACTCTGCCTCATTTCCTTGTAGTTTTGTCTGTATGAGGGATGGAACCTTCCCAGCTCCTCTGACCAGCTTCCTGTTTTTTTCCAATGAGGGGATGATGTTTTCAGGGTGATATGCAGTGTTTTCAATTAAACATGATGACTTCAGTCTAGGGTTAACAGTTTCTTTTTTTTTTCTTTTTTTTAACAGTCCCTGTTTATATTATTGCTGTTTCCTGTCTGGTTTTTGTGTAAACTGATTTTCTCAGGTCTTTCTTCTTACCACTCTTTAACAAAGTCCGGATTTGTGGAGCGTAAAAACTAACAGTTGTCCTCTCAAAAGATTTTCCCCTCACTAGTTTTCAGTTATCAGAGGCCTCTTGGCTAAATAATCAATCAGCCTGCTGCACTGTAGGTGTACGAAGGAGCATGACTGCAGACCCTTCTTCCTAGCAGCTGTCAGACTCCGAGCGCGATTTGTGGCACTGGCAGGTCGCTCTGGAACTTCCGGTGGCAGGTCGGACTGCCACGGCGTATTACTGGCAGCTGCCAGTAGTTGTGGCAGCTGCCACTAGGCTGCCACAACTACGGAGACTGGCTGCCAGACCGGTTTAAACCGTTTCGGGGGCTGCCGGCGCCGTTTTTCGGCAAAAAACTTAGTTAACGTGACTCT